ACAGGCAGCTAGCGAGCCAATTGATCCCTTGACCAGCTATGTTTGCCCGATGTGCCTACTAGAGGAGGCATTATTCTCCAGCGCTTGCCCCCGTCCTGATTGTGGCTGTTCTTCGCTCGCCATGGACCTGGTACCTACCATACTTCTTTAGTAAGGGCAGTTTCAAGCCTCAAGGGGCTGATGCTTGGTATCAGTACGCATAATTATCGTACCATGTGGTAGTTAGCTATTAGCGGTGAAGACAGAAAAAGCGGTGAAGACAGCTTAGGAGGTCAAGTAGTGTGGTAATACTAAAATTGTAGTAAATCTTTAACCCTATGATTACCTAATCTACCCCTCGAAAGCTGTCATCCAGCCGGCACATCTGTACCCGTACCTGGTACAGTGTACATGTACGAGTACCTGATGATGCCAGATGCCAGCAAAAGAAATGTTATCGTGTCTGTGCAAAGCTCTCCTTAAATCTTTAGCCCTACGATTTTCTATGTACCCTGAAAATGTCTTCCAGCCGTTGCCTTTGCTGTATTGTACACGGTACTGGTACCAGGTACAGTGCGCCACTCCGAGTTTTCTGGACCGGACCCGTCCAGAAAACAAAAAGTGATCCCGACGGGTTTGGTGGCTCGGCTCGCTCTTCTTAACCGTCGTGGGCGTTCATGACGCCTGATGTGCGTCATCGCTGCATCGATGGGTTGACAATGGAACTTCGCTGGGTTACATTTCACGCGAGCCAATGCTGCTTAGGGATGTGTTAACCGGTGACCTGTGATCACTGTACAATCACTCCATCGTTTTCATTTTTTTCTGTCAACATGAGTTCATCAAAGGATATTGACCCTATTACGCCAAGTTAGGCATGTAGGATCCAGTACTGGATTTTAAAGTTCTCGTACTGAATTTTCCGTGTGAGACTAGAGTTCTAGTAGACACACGATAGAGAATGGTCTAATATTGATAGCACCCGACATTTGCTGGAGCGTTCCTCAATCGTGCATGAAACCGACCCTAAAATAGGGTCGGATTTAGGGTCGGATTCCCTTTAGGGTCGGGTTTCGAAACCGACCCTAAAAATAGGGACGTTTTCTGAAAAATAGGGACGGTTTCTGAAAAAACGTCCCTAATTTAGGGACGGGTTTCGATTTAGGGTCGGGTTTCGAAACCGTCCCTAAATATAAACGGGACTGCCTGGTAAATACATTGAAAACGCACCAATATTAGGGTCGGGTTTCGAAACCGACCCTAAAAATAGGGACGTTTTCTGAAAAATAGGGACGGTTTCTGAAAAAACGTCCCTAATTTAGGGACGGGTTTCGATTTAGGGTCGGGTTTCGAAACCGTCCCTATATTTAGGGACGGATTCCCCCAAACCGACCCTAAATTAGGGTCGGATTTAAAGTCATGCACGATTGAGGAACGCTCCTGGAATCTGAGGGGCTACCAGCCAAAACGTGAGGAGAGAAACATGCATTGTCAGCTTGCTCTGTTAACTGCTGCGGTTAGCCTTTGTGTTAACTGGTGGGATTCGATAACCGGGATTGACATATGGGCCGGCGTGTCCTTGGATTCATCTAACAATCCTCTTTGTCCTTGAGGGGAGGGTGAAGTTCGTCTAGCGCCTCCTGAAAGCGTTCTTGGGGTTCTAGGGGAGTGACTCCATATTCTTTCAGGAATTCACACAACTTCTGTCGGGCCTCCGCTGGAGACGGCTTCTAAAGGTTTTTGCAGCTGTTTTTGCTTCTTGAAATAATCGTCCAATGCGCGTTTTGCTCGAACATGTCTGTAAAAATTCTCAGGAGAAATTTCATCCATGTGCGCGAGGTTGTACAAAGCACCGATGATCTTCCGCAGCGCGTAGTAATCATGGAACTTTGAATGCGTGCATTTGGCTTTCCGAAGCGTACTCCATCCTTAAGGTCGCTCCCGCCGACATAGCCACCGGGGTATTCTTTCTCCTCGGCTTTTCCACCAAAATCAAGATCAATGAGCCATCCTTTCTTCTTCCCATTATCGTCTTGGAAGACCATATTGAATGCGCGGATATCGCCGTGCACCATGTCATGTTCATGCAGGTGGACAAGGTGACTCAAAATTGGTTCAAAGTCGGACACTTTGTTTGCCTTGTGAACTCCTTTGCGGTATGGCACGGAGATGATCAAAAGGCTTCCTCGATTTTCCCACAACCATTCTCGCGGGTGACCGACAAAGTCACCTGGAAGAGGAGTTTTGAAGGGGTTGTGTGCAACCCAAATTGGACTTTTGATTTTGCTATTAAAACAGTTAAAACATTTGAGGGGTGCTTGTCCAGCCCCTTTTTGAACCGGATATTAGGGATCCGGATGGAACAGAACTGTGTGGCACTGCACTACATGCGTCGTGCCCTCCCCTTGACCTCTGTCTCCCTCCTCATCTTAGCTCACTCTAATCCATAGTAAACCCGCTTCACTACATGTATGATATTTATTATAGAATAATGGTGCAGGAATCACCCCAAAATGGTGCACATTATTTCAACAATCTTTTATCATGATCCCCCATTTCCGACCCTAATTTTCGTTTGGGGAACAACTGGGGGCGAAGGGTTCTCATTCACGTCTCATTATTTGGGAGAGCGGACAAATGATAGTGGTTAACGGTCCCTGGCGGGCTGGGCTGGCTCGGCGTGGGGTGCAGAAATGTCGCGACGATCTGGAAATTGTCCTGCAGATTTGGGGTACTAGTACAGTCTGTCAGTCTGTACTGGTACCTGATCAGCTCCTGATCCCAGATGCCAGAATCTTATGCGAGCAACATGCTCGCGCATGTGTCAGCGTGTCTGTGCAAAGTTCTCCTGAGGAACCCTTCGTTAATTAATACTGGTTGTACAAGAGAACAATCCTTAGATAAAATTGGAGCACAACAATAATGTGACTGAGCGATGTAGCTACGATGTTGGGGCCATGAAGCCTTTTGAGTTGGTCAGTCTTGACAGCACTCTGCTCGGAACCTCCCCCTCCCCCCCCTCGCTGTAATCTTTGGGTAAGATAGGGCTCACAAATATACAAATCAGGCCAGAGAAGCAATACAACAACAACCATGAGTTTCAACGCAAACAACCCTGAGACAATCAAAGACGGAGCCAGCATCCCCTCCATGAATGATCAGAAGTACAGCAAGGATGGTACTCGCAAGCGCCTCTCAGTCAGGTCCTCACAGTTTGATCGTGGCAACAAGGGATTCCTGGATGATGAAGAACAGCTCCTTGTCAAGTATGATGTAAATGGAGATGGCAAGATTGATGCTGGAGAGCTTTTCAACATTGTGTCTGATCTCAAGAAGGAGCATGGAAAGAAGAAGAACCTCAAGAAGGGACTTGGCTTGTCTTTGGTGGCAATCCTGTTGCTCCTCACCATGTCTTTTGGTCTTGTCTGGGCAGTCGTGGCCCTCACCAAGGAGGTTGCAGTGGACAGTCATGGACATTTGGTGGACTCCCACACTGGCAATGTGGTAGAGACCAGGCCTGAGGCCAGCTTGATTTTCCTCAAGGCGGATAGTGGTGTTGCCCGAAGGTTTCTCGTGAGGAAGCTACAAGATTCAGTTGGCGGCGGTTTGGACAGGTCCGATGATCTAGACGGAGAAGGAAGGCAGCTCCTGGGAACTGCGCCCAAGAATGGAGTGCACACAGCCTACAGGCGATTCCAGGAGAACTCGGAGCATTGCAATGCTGTGGTGACTGTGGATGGTGTTGAGTACACCCGCCCCCTTAACCTTGCTGGGATCAGCAGGAGAGAGGAGGATTCAGACAGGAGGGAGCTAGGAGGAGGTGGTGGTGGAAATCGCCCCAGAAAGTTGCTCTACCAAGGCATTTACATGGAATCTAATCCAGACCAAGAGTTTCGGCTGGATTGTGATGATGAAGAAGATGACTGCAGTGTATTCTCTGTTGGGCGTTTTCAACCTGGATCAAGTTCTGGCCGACGATTGAGCCAAATTGAAGCAGACCAATGTGAAGATGATGATGATTGCAATGGCGACTTTACCTGCAAGAGCATCTGGGGAGACAAACATTGCACATGTAATGAAGACACAGATTGTGATTACCTACTTGAGAGTGGTGGTGCTCACTACAGTTACCGAGACTACACGAATGTTGATGCTCAATGTCCAAGTTCCTATGTGTGCAGAACCTACTATGACTGCTTCTCCGCCTCCATGACAACGATGACACCTGAGGGTCCCAAGAAAATGGATGAGCTGAAGATCAACGACCTGGTGTTGACTTCCTCTGGCAAGTTCCAAAAGGTATATGCTTGGCTCCACAGGACTCCTGAGAAGCTTGCTGCAAGCCAAGCCAGGGAATCAGCGTACCTCCAGATTGTCACAGACAGTGGAAACAAGATTGAAATGACCCCCAAGCACATGATATACATCAATGACCAGCAGTACCCTGTGGAGGCTGGACATGTTAAGGTTGGTGACTACTTGTCCCTCATGGAGCCTGGCCATGCCACCACCATCAAGACAGCCAAAGTGACTGCCATTACCACTGTCAAGCTCATGGGAGGCTTCTCTCCTGCCACTGAGGATGGAACCATTGTTGTCAATGGTCTTCTTGCCTCCTCCTACAGCAACCCTCGCTACACTGACAATGAATATGTGCTGGTTGCTGGAAAGCCCTTGATGCACAGGCAGGCATTCACCCACCTGATCACCTCTCCTCTGAGGTTGCTCTGTATCCATGTCAGCAGTTCCTTCTGCGAGGTGGATATGGATGAGGAAGCATTCTTGCCTTTCTCCAAGGGAGTTGACAAGCTCTATGTTGCCTCTGCAAATGCTGGAGTTGTGGATACTGTGTTGATGCTGACAGGCTTTACAGGAATGCTGGCCCATGGAATTGAGCTGTTCTTCAAGACGTTTGGCCTTCCCTTGATGGCATCTGGATGCGTTCTTGCCCTTATCAATGTTGTGGCACCCTTCAACTTCAAGATGCAGATTGTGAACAAGTCCAAGAAGGTGGACTAACCAGTGGGAACGAGGCGCGATTGTCTTATATGAAGAATTTCTCTCTGTCTCTTAAAATAGTTGGTGTTGTGGCACCTTGAAAGAAAGCTAACATTCTTACTTGAAACTACATTATTTGGCAAATCTCACATTTGAGTTTGTCGCCATAGATTCTATTGAGTTTGCGCATGTTGATCCAGGGCTCCATCTTCTTGGTGATAGGATTCTATTGCAGCAAGAGGTTCGAGGTATTTCCTGCATGAGACCAAGTGCAACAAGACCGACTCTAACCAAACAACCATCCATATATCCGCCTCTTTGACTTACCCACGTGTCCGACTCCTTACTTAGCAGAAGCTTGACGTCTTGGTCAAATCCATCCCAATCCATAAAAGGGTCCGGAACGCCATCCATGGCATCGGATCCAAATAAGATGGCTACGAAATCCCTCAGTTCCGTCTTTGTGAGTGGTCTTTCATCAAGGAGATCAAATATGCGTTCTTGGAACCCCAGCTCTCTCATGCGTTGGAGGGGCAGCCCGTAAGTCAACCAGGGATTTTGCTTGTACACTTCCTGTGCTTCCCCCAAAAAGTCATCCAGGACCTGCCAACGAATAATCAAAATTGAACATGCCACAAAATCAAGATTGCGTCAGGGTTTACTGTACGGATGCTCACGAGGGATGTCGTCTGACTGACTCTGTCTGACTTGAAATACTTACTTCGATCGAGAGTTCCAATTGTGAATCCAGCTCATTATAAAAGGACACGACTGGATCTTCATCGGTACAAAGTCGAATGATAATCCACACGGGCAAGCCTTCCAACGTCCTCAAACTGGCCAGGAATTGTTCCTGATGAAGGGAACCACCATATCCTCGTTCATCCGTCGGCAATCCATCGGTTGCCAGTACTAATGCCACCTTTTGACCATTGGCCCGTAATGTTTGTTCCTGAGCGGCCACTTCTCGTTGAAATTCCAAAATGTGTTGCGTGAGGGGTGTGCAGCCATTGGGACGAGTGTTCCGTATCCATTCCATGGCAATATTGACTTCATGACCGAGGAGGGTAGTATCTCCTGGTATCGAGGCAACCTTGACTTGTTGGGGTCCGACCGCGGCTCCTGGGTGGTTCAATAGCTGTTGTAGGGAGAGCAACCAAACATAATTGTCCCACAGAATAATTAATAATTGCGGATTGTTGTGTAAATTTGGAGGCACCATGCAAATAAATATCAATCATTGGAACTGATGAGAAAAAGAGAAAAAATGGCAAATTATCGACAAGACCACAACCCCAGCGGCTTTTGCTGCACTCACGCGAAATGTAGTATTGGATTCGATGGCGGCAGCTAACTGGATATGATACGTGACGCATTCCTGCGACAAAGGAATGAATGCAAGACAAACAAGTCATTCCAATTTTGTATTGTTGTCAGAACCACCGACACAAATCCAGCCACAACAAACAAACAAAATCATATATAGATAGATAAAGAAACTTACTTGAATTTCTTCCCATCGGCTGGATGGAACCAACGCCACTTGATTGGCTTGTCGGCCCGTGGCCACCAGTTTGTGACCGTCGCATGCTTGCATCGACCCTGAGTTGTGGAATAAATCAGAATCGTACAGTATGGAACAAATCAGGATCTACCGCTACCAGTACTTGTTTTTTTAAAATAAAGACAAGCTTTGAATACGCCCCTGCTTACCTGAATTGTCAACCACCCATGTGCGACTGCGAAACGTTTTCTTGGAACTATTCAGGGAGAGAGCAAGGCCACGGGTAAAACCCTGTTGCTGCAAGCGGTCAATCGATTCCTCTGTGATTTCAGGAGAAGCAGAAAATGTGGGTGCTTGCACTGCAGGAGGAGGTATAAGGGGAGTTATCCCGTCAAATTCAGAGGGTGGAGCAGACGCCATGGTGAGTTGTGTTTCTCTAATAATAATGAATTGAATTGTTGGATTATGAAGACCCTCGTTGCTCGGTTTGGCTTCGGTTGGACAAGGAGGGAGCCTTTTCGAAGAACCGCCAATTGGCAATTTGGATCTTGTTCAATCGGAACCTTCGATGATTCGTGGATACAGTCGCACAGGTATTCAAAAGGAGATAAAGCAAATTCTCATCAGCGATCTTTGAAGTCAACCGTTGTCCAGAGACCACACTCTTTCCTTCCATACCGGTGGTACAAGTAAGCAAAAGCAAGTAGTGATAGAAGGAAGCTTCAAAGGACCTCTAATATCCTCAGCCATGACCTTTAGCTCTACTACTAGCAGCAACCCTTACAATAGAAGTACCACTACTAGTAAAAAGACAACCAAGGTGCAATGCGTGGTTCTGGGAGCGGCGGATGCTGGAAAGACCAGTTTGCTGAGACGATACTTTCGCGGGACATTTGATCTGGGGAGGGTAGCCACCGTGGGAAGTGACTTTTACACCAAAAAGATCCAATTACAACAACAAACAACGAGTGATGACGATGCTACTACAAGTACTACGAGTAGTATCCTGCTTCAAATGTTTGACACTCCTGGAGAAGTCCCCGAACGACGACGAAAACGTCCTGCCAATGAACAAGATGATCTGGAACAACAACGACACATGCAGGCGCTACTCAATGCATTTGTGGGCCGAATGGACGGAGTCATGTTGGTCTATGACATGACCAGTACCACAAGTTTTGTACAATTGAGACAATGGCACGCGCAGTGGAGGAAATACTCCAGCCAAAACAACGACAACAACAACAATACTGTTCATCATCATCAACCCTTTCTCGTTGTGGGAAACAAGCGGGATCTCATCCTGCCAACCAAAATCAACAACCACAAGCAGAATACTAGCAGCAAGAGCTCTACCAGTAACAACAACAAAAATTCAACCTTCAATAATTTACAACCATCGGCGGTCCCTCAAAGAGATGTCATGGGATTTCAGAGAACCTTTACAGGAAACGATTTCCGATACGAATATCGAGTCGATCATAATACCAGTGCTCCTCCCACTCCCTTGCACAGCAACAATTCCCTTACTACGTCCTCCACTCCTCATCATCATCATCATCACAAACCGCCAAAATCTACATCCTCAAAAAGTTCCAGACCCAACCATCGACATCAAATATCCACATTTTCATCCACCACCAATGCCGGTGTCCTGTGGACACAGGGACAGGATGGAACCTATTTGGACTCTCTCCTGACTACAGAAGATAACTCCAATCCAGACAGGGATATGGTCAAGTTGTGGTGCATGAGGAATGGACTACAGCACGTGGAAGTCAGTTGCCTCCAACCAAACACGGACGGTCATGTGGATGTTGCCATGGAGACGCTGGTGCAGTTGGTATTGGAAGCCAGACGAGAAGAAGCAGAAGAAGAACGGCAGCAACAACAACAACAGCAAGATGAAACCAAAACGGATCCAGAACCACCGTCAGATAGCCATCCTACTACTGCAAACAACAACAATGGTGCAAGTAGTTCTTTGCCGGCACAACCACAAGTGGAGGATACAAAGGACTATTATTATCGTCCCAATGAGGAACTGGATCTATTGGAACGATATCGTCCCAAGGACCGAAAGTGCTGCTTTTGCTTCCCGCCTCTCAAAAAGCTCACTAGGACGAGTAGTAGGTTCATCGCTGAATAAGTAAAATGATTCGAGAAGATGAATCGAATCGAATGCAATCATCCGAGAATGGGCTTACCGTTGGAGCTGGGGATGGGGAGGGTGCCAAGAATGCATTCAACGGCTACCTGAGCTAAGGCTACTGGTAGGTTGGGGGTTTCTTGGTTTAATCGTGGCCGGCAGCTAAGACAGCACAATGGTCTTTGATTTTTCTATGACCGGCACTTTGAGGGGGCTACATACCGGTAGTAAAGATTGCAAGATTTACGTCTATATTTTGACCCAACGTCCATAACAAGGTTTCCACAGATTGTGTTCACTTCATATCATTTTTTTCTCTCTCTTTCTCTCTGTCTTTGATAGTAGTATCTTCTAGTTGTTTCGGTGTTCTTCCTCTTGGACTCCGCGCTACTCTTGCGCTACGGTAGGGACGACTTCAAACAAGACAGTCCAACAGTTCCTGTGCGTCGGGATGAGCACGTCCCTTCAACTGAATCGTTGCAATCTCCTTGTTGTGGGCAACACTGACTACAGTGGCTTCTTCGACCTGGATCAACGATTCGTCCAGCCATGGCGCCACCAATTCTGCGACTTTTCGGGCAAGATATCCCAATTTGACTTGATTCGAAGATGATGACAATTGGACTTGAATAGCATTTGCGTCGAATCGATTATCGGGTTCCCGCACTAATTGCACAGTTTGATGGGTGGCATCACCATTCTTGTTCCCTTTTTTGTAGTAGTAATGTTTGAGCGCAGTTACTGTGAGCTGGACATTGTCAAACGAAAATGAGAGCTCTCCAGCAGTGGCTTTTTCTGCCCGATTCCGGGATTGATGGCCGGTCCACAATGTGCGTTTGTGGCTGGGTTTGCCCGCATTCCAGTAGAGTGTCTTGTAGGATACCTTTTGGTTGGAAGACGTGGTAGTAGCGTAGATCCCATCCATGGTTTCTTGATCTCGCTTATAGCGAATAATGTGTTTCACCATGTGAATCAATTGGAGTCCAACCTCCTCCAGACGTTTTTCGGAAGTGTAGACACAAATGACATAGTTTTGCGGTCCACTTGTGTTGCTGTTGGGATTAGTAACGCTGTTGTAGTGTGTGGCGACCTTGGCACTGGCAGCATGGAGTTGTCCTGATTTGACGGCCTTTGCAAGACGCTTCCAGGTGTTACTGATGGTCTCTGGCTTTCGAAAGAGCAACCATTTTCCCAAAACCTCTTCCTGACGGTACCGTTTTGGTCCATCCTGGAAAATCCAATGTTCACCTTCCTCGACGACCTTTGTGGGATCTCGTGGATCATCCAAGATAATTTCATCATCTTCATCACTGCTCAGTAGATCAACGACCAAATGGTCCGTTTTGGGTTTCTTTCGTGAACTTTGATCTTCGGGTCGCGGCGGATTATTCTTTTTTGAAGGCGCTGTGTTGGCTGCCTCTTCGTTTACTCCCGTACAATACACAATGCTAAGTTTGGGAATTACATCCCAAACCAATGCCGAGGGATTTCCTTTCCAGTCAATGCTGTCGTCGTTGGATTGGATCTTTCCAAGGGATAGCGTCACATTGTCACAGCCAACCTCTTCCAACGCCACCTTGGCCAAGTCTTCCAGCGTCATTGACGACTCCACATCGACTTTCTTGTTGCCGCGATGTGCCGTTCCTGGAGCGGAGTAGACGAGCTTGATCTTGTACGCCATGGTCGTCCTCTTCACTTATTATTTCAGATTTGTGGACGAGCAGTGGTGTTGGATGTCATTGGTTCTTGAGGAGCTAACGTGCTCTGACGAATACAGCTCTGCAGCGTTATGTTAACCATCCGTCAAAAGGTGCGGAAGAAGAGAAAAGCAGACCAGAAGTGGAGGTCTTAACAGAAAGGGACCTTGGATGCCAATCGATCGATCGTCAAAGGAAGCCATCACAAGCCACTACAATCCAAGCAACAGCATGACACGGTTGCTGTTAATAAGCTTCTTTATAATCATGGTTCTGCCTGGCAGGGTGGCCAGTTTTCTTCCATCATCTGCTTCCCACGGGTCATCCCTCCCACCAAACCAGTCTAGAACAAAAACAACATCCACCTGTCCTCTTCACATGAGTTACTATGTCAAACCGGATGGTCCTAGTAACGAAGATGACGACGAAATGATTAAATCCATTTTGGGACCACTGGGATCCACTCGACAACGTCCTCGTGGTCACAGCATTGTCATTCTGAGTGACACGACAGGTGTCACGGCCAAGAGTGCCGTAGAGAAATCACTGACACAGTTCAACGGCTGCGACGAACGATACACGGCATTTGATGAAGAAGATCCCTGTGAATTGACTCAGAAACACATGTATCCCTTCATTCGAAAACCAGAAGAAGTTGCTCCCATTATCGAACGAGCGGCACAACGCAATTCCATGGTTGTGTTTACGTTTGCCGATCCCAAAATGCGACAATTGGTAGTGGATTCCTGTGAAGAGGCTGGACTGTCCTATGTGGACCTGTTGGGACCCATGTTTGATCTCATGACGGATTTTTTTCAAAGAGAACCCATTGGCATGGCTGGTCCTGGCACTCGCAGTCCCATTCGGCGAGAATTGACAGAGCTCTATTATAGTCAAGTCGATGCCATTGAATTTACTTTGAAGGCGGATGATGGCATGGCACCGTGGTTATTACCAGAAGCGGACGTTGTCTTGGTTGGAGTCAGTCGAACAGGAAAGACACCCCTATCAGTGTTCTTGTCTCAGTCACAGGCACTCAAAGTGTCCAACATCCCTTTGGTACTGGAATTAGATCCACCCAAACAACTTTTTGAAGTCGACCCGAAACGAGTATTTTGCTTGACACTCAATCCTATTGATTTGCAGCGAATAAGAGAAACAAGATTGGAAAGACAACTGGATAATATTCCTGGGGGAGAATCAACCTATGCCGACTGGAGCTATCTCAAGAAAGATCTAGCCAAGGCAAGACGACTCGCAGATGAACATGGGTTTACTGAAATTGATGGTACGTTTAGCTTACATGGAGAACCTTGTGCACCATGTCCATTGGTGTTATGAATGTTCCATGCAAGGTTCAACAAATTGAGGTTCTCACAATTGTTGCATGTTGATCTATAGTCACTGGCCGTGCTGTCGAAGAGACCGCCAGTCAAATCAGTTCCATGCTTAATGAGCGCTTTCCAACAATGGGATGGCAGACTGAGTGACTGGGAGGACACAACATGATCCGATCAGCCACTCAACAGACAAAAACAGGGAACCGCGTAGAACGGAATATAGAATACTTGGTCGAACCAAAGGCAACGGTTGTTTCAATAGGAAGAGGCAGCATCAAAACTGAGTTGACTTTGTACATCGCAACTCATGCAAATGTGGCAGAGAATACTAGTAATAGTAGATCATGTACAATCATGAGTGAACAAATAAATGGGCTCGTTACTTTTGGTTTACCGTCCTACAGGAAGATTGAATCCCGAGATCTTTGCGTCAACAGTAGCATCTGCAGTTGTATCATCATATACAATGTAAATGTCCACAGGATATCCATATTGTTGATTGTAGCTCACTTCCAGGTATTTGGGGCTTTGGTTGATGGCAGATTGAATCATGGTAAAGAGTTCATCAAAGCTCATTGGATGAGGGTTGTTGTTCACCCAATTGATCTGGTTGCTATTTCCATCCATTGCGGTGACTTGGACACCATTGGACACCATCACATTCCAGGGAAAGACAATGTTTTGAGGATTTGGTCCAAACATGTTGAAGTCATAGGCATAGTTCAAAATATTCATTGACTTCCAAAGTGCCACTGCCTGGTTTAGTTGCTGTTGTGCACTGGATGGAGTGGGACCAGGAGTGTTGCTGCTGCCAAGGGGGACAAAGTGTGTTACCTGCACGCCGTATATGCTGCCATCAGACCTGACAAAATGAATGTTGGTGGGAAATCCTTTTGAAGTGTCATATTGAACTTCAATATCAAGATCTGTGTTGGCATCAATCTCATTTTGAATCAGTGTAAAAAGTGATTCCATAGAAGGTAGTGGCACACTGGATGGGATGTTGTTGAAGCTGGCATCTACTCCAGTGATGACACCAGGGTTGTGTGGGGAGTTCACTGTGACAGCCCATGGGAAGGGATATGTGGAAGGCACATTGGTTCCAACTCTTTCATACTCTAATTGGTAGGATTGGAAACCCAGTCCTCCCCACAGAGCTTGGTTCCTCTCCAGTTGTTCTTGCTCTGGCAAAAAATTGGGAGCTGAATCTGCAGCGCCTTGTTGAGCCAAAAGAAGCCCCAAGAGGCCTGTGGTGGCAATGGAGTAAATTTTGTTGTTGTTAATCATCTTGTGATGCAGAAGTTTTGTTGTGTTTGTTGATGTTGTGTTTTGGTTGGTTTTTGTGAGGAAAGAAGATGGAGCACGGAGATAAGCTAGCACCCGAACGAGACCCAGCAAGATTGATCCAACCGTGAACCGATCGAAATCGATTGACTCGACTCATTCGAGTCCCAGTTTTGTTGAAATGAGGGCATGCCGTTTCTCGTACAACCTGTACAGTACTCAAGATCCGAGGAGGCCGAAACACTTGGGCTTAGCGCAGCAAAGGAGCCACTCAATGCTACATGTATGCACTACTAGTCTAGATAACTAGCTAGCCTGTGGGAAAACTTCCCCTTCCTTGGGAAGCTCAAGAAAGAAAAGGAAGAGAGTGTCCTTGGACTACCGGTACTGTAGATCGTCTGCCTTACCCACAACCAGCAGAATTGGCAAGTCTACGCACCTAACGGTACACACACATGCGCGTCGATGTACGATAAATCCTTTCAGAATCTCGCGTTTATTGTTTTGCCTTTTCCTCCTTGGCATTGTCGTCCTTTGTATTGTTGCCTGCCTCGGCTTCCAATATCCCGGCTTTGGTAATGACGACTCTTCGTTTCGGTCTACCCGAACTGCTGCCATTCAATTCAATGAGGTTGACCACATCAAATCCATCCAGGACACACCCAAACACGACGTGTTTTCCGTCCAGCCAGGGTGTCTTTTTTGTCGTAATGAAGAATTGGCTGCCATTAGTGTGGGGTCCGGCTAATTGACAAGTAAGTTGAGCAGGAAGCAAGCATACAAGAGGGAAAAGGATTAGACAAGCGTCGTCATTGAACAATTTTTTGGATGATGAGTACTCACCGTTCGCCATGGACAAAATGAAAGGTGCAGTATGCTTTAGTTGAAAATTCTCATCCTCGAATTTGTTTCCGTAGATGGAAAGACCACCGGTTCCTTTGAAGTACAGAATGCACACAGCAGGTGAGAATCTGTCCACAAGCAGGGGCCGTCAAAGATTGTATTCCTGAAGTACATGGAATAAACCTTACCATCATGTTGTGTGAAATCCCCGCCTTGGATCTGTCGACCCAAAAAAATAAAAATGATGAGTCATATCTAGCAAGGGGCTGATGGGATGGATTTGCGAAACTTTCTTCCGAACTCATCACTCACCATGAATCCAGGGATAATTCTATGAAACGTGGTCTTGGAGTAGGTCAAATCAATGTTGCCCTTCTTTTCGGTTCCTTTGCAGAGCGTTTCAAAATTCTTGGCCGTCTTGGGGACCACTCCACCGTAAAGACCGATCACAACTCGCCCGGCTGGTTGCTTGTCGATGGACACATCAAAGTAGACCTTGGAAGTGACTTCTGCCTGAGGTTCTGGCTTTGTAGCGGCAGCGATCGCGTCGTCCTCCTTGTCCAAATTCATGTTTTTCAAGCCATATCGGACACCAATAAAGGACAGCCCAAATACCGCTGCCGTGGCAACATGCCACATCATGTTGTTGTTCCCGCCACCATTGCCGGATGGATCGGGTGTCTTTTTGGGTGCGGTCTCTTTCGCCGACTCAGAAAAGAAACGTTGACGGACTAGTGTCGGTTGGATGTGGACTGTTCGGGAGCCATGATGTCTGCTCGAAACCAGGAATACTCGGGGTAACGTAGCTGCCATTGTTCCAGCAATTAGTATCTCGCCTCTCTCCTGATTTCTTCGATTGTTTCAATAGAGCCTGAGGCTAGCTAGTCTGCCGCTGGCGAATGGCTTTTGACGATGGGGTGTGGGGTGGAAAAGATCACGAGAATTCAATGGAATGATCAATCTTTGGATCTTTCAAAACCCAGTAAGGCTGTTTGAAAGTCATGCGGCCGGTACGTACCCGGAACTACATGTAGCTTTTGCGTGTCTGGGGTATGGTACCGGCACCGGTACACTAGCTAGTGCTGCCGGGTACAGTAATAGCACCTCCCGTTTGCTGGATCCAGTGGGCTGGAATGTGAGCCGACATGGGTCGGCGTACTCTTAACGGTTTTCTGAATGACATACTCCATGGAACATTTCGGGTCTTGGTTGCCGTTTCGGTTGGCTCCTCATTACGTGAGATGGGTAGGGCTTGGACTTGCAACATGTGCTGCCTGTTTTGAAGCTCGGCTAGTAGTAGCTCGCTACAGGACGTTAACCTAGCTAGGGTTTTAATCCAATTGATTAAACCAGTCCTGGAGTCGCCAAAAGAAGCAGCAAACCAATTTTTCTTTGTTCCTCCCTCTCAACAACACCAACAGGCAATGATTGACTACTATAATCATGTTGGTAGATGCATTTGACATGGCTCTGTAGCTTTCTGAAGCAAGAGGAAAATCTGCCAACTTGGGCCAATGGGGAAAATTGTGCTAAACTACTAGGTGAGATTTTAATCATTCTGTTATCTCGCTACCCACACCCCATTCCAAGGCGACAGTGGACATTCCGCTGCTCCAAAAGCCTTGCACTCTTGGTACCTTGTAGAGAACACCTATTGGGACAATAGACCGCTTGGAATAACAACAGAAGTCCTTCTGTGTGGAGATCTGTGGTGGAATCCAGTGGTAGATGGGATAATGGAAGGGTATACTGCATTCGCTCTTCTTCCCACCCAATATCTCGCTCCTCTCCGGCGGTAGCCCTCCTCCGTAGCCTCTCTACCCTTTCCTATTGATGCTGAAAGCCGACGGAGGCCTCGAAGCGTCGTTCCGTCGTTCCGGGGACGAAACAAGTGTCATGGTGGCTTGATGCGATTGTTTAAACAAGAGAAAATCATGAAAAGTCAATTTTGCTGTCTCTTCCAGCCGATTTTGCCATAAGTCCTTGTGTAAACCTACTTATGTAATGTTATGTGAAGTTAGTGGAAAAGGTGTTAAAAGAGATAGAAGCTTTGTATTGGGCATTATAGGCGATTTTTGGGGGGTATCCATGGATTTAATCAATTCTTGGGCCAAAAGGGTCGACTTGGGCTAAAGGGGTTTTTCACTCGTACGACATTTCCATTCATTCCTTAGTTGACGACCATTCGCTCACAGGCGGCACGATTCGATCGATTCGATTCGATTCGGATTGGTGCATATCAGCAGTCGTACACAACAGGAACACCCGTCCAATTGCAGCATCACGTTGCCTTGTTGCCTTTGTATTTTAATTGTGCATGTACTTAGCTTCGGTGCTAAGTCTAAGACTCTCTCTACAAGTATTGATCTTTCGAGGACAAGCCAAGACCCGTCCTTGTGAATGTCGTGGACATCTCAAAAAGACGCCATTGTTTCTCTCTCGGAACGTGTGGACATCTTTCGCTGTCGACTCCCTGGCCGATTCAACCGATTGTACAAGATTACTTATCAGCGGCACCATGGACACATCTGAACTGGATGAAATTACAAAGCATCTTGCTGAGCTTGAACTCTATCGACCTCAATCACTTAGCGAATCGATGCAGAAGCAATCTCTGGTCGCAGAACACAAGAAAAACCTAAACGGCTTGATCCCCGAAGATTCGGATGAGTTGAGACGAGATACTGAAGTTGTTTCTTCGCACATTGCTCAATGCACTTTGCCAACAGTGAACCGGACGCAATCAAGAAGAGTTCGTTTGGAGGAAAAAGATTGCTTGCTGATTCGTCAGCCTCTCTTTTCGATGTACGAAAACGTTATCTTGGAGGACTCGAGTCAATTCTTTGGTCTGACAGGGCCACGGGGGTTTGGCAAATCTGCTTTTCTCCAATATCTCACCACCAAGCACATCCACGGTAGCAACTATCTCGTCGTTTTCCTGCCAGTCTGTCCTGATGAAGTGGGTGAGATGAAGATCCATTTGGCCACGGCCTTCTATCAAGGATGTAGGATTGCCCAGCTTCAGGGGTACCCTCAGCTGTCGCGCCTTGCCGAACTTGGAGACATGGTGCGAACGTGTGTTGGTTTTGCGAAGGGGAATAATAAGACGCTACTCCTTGTGATCGACCAAATGAAGACTGAGGACCCTCAATTCTTTCATCCAACGATCAATAAAATATCGAATGTGCGTGCAAAAAATCTCAAAGTGGTTTTGTCTTCATCAGCAAGCCACTTATGTGGTGATATTTTTGGAACCAATTACTATCCCCTTTACCGCTATTCTCACAAGCTCACACAATCGTAAGCCCAATTGCTTTCTACCCATTATTCAAACCAAGGTATTGCGGTTCCCGAGGAGGATCTTGCCGACACGCCGTTTCAGGTTGCAGCAGAGAAGCTGAGTCAGATGCCGGACGAGACTGAAGCCCAAGCGTTGAAGCTGGCTGAAGATTTGCTCGCAAGACGGAACGATCCAAGAGGAATGTAAGCTTTTTTCTTTTTGCTATGGGCCATTGATTCAACAAAAAAGGACAACAAGGAAACCGTATCATTTGGTACTATTCTCAACCCAGACTTTTTTTACGTCGAGGAGAAGGACGCGGTAGGGGGGAAGAAATGGTACATTGCCGAGCATCGAAAGGGGTTTGCGGCAAGGTTTTGCAACATTATGCGATCAAGACACGAATCTTATGAACAGTACCTTCTTACTGTGCTCGGCAACCCCAATTTCATCACTCTGGACCGCGGCGCACAGGGTAGGATTGTGGAGGATTCTTTTTCTATCATTCTTCGAAGTCAAACTGAGATTGTGTTTCCCCTATCCAGAATCCCGAGCGGTGCGACGAATCCGAATAAGTTCTCTGTGCAAGCGGGCACCACACATGTTGTTAATGTCGAAGGAGGAGACGAGGAGGTGCCGCCGCAGTTCCAGTGGCCGCCTGGTTTTGATACCCTTGTTTTCATTCCCCAGAACAGGCAGTACAAAGGCATCGACTTCATTGTTGCAAGGAAGACCGAATCATCGCTTTCTATCTACTATGTGCGGTGCACAGTTCGGCTCCCGCAGCATCATGACATAGTTGAGTCGGAACTATATGGTGGATGGGAGCAATTGTTGGTAAATGCAGCTGCATTAGGGGTTTACCGCAGTCAGCTTGTGTTTTTGACCCCAAATTCACCAGAGCAAGCAAAAGGGTTGACTCTTCCACGCATATTTGCCAGTTTCTTCAAAAGCAAGGCTCTGCACATTCAGTTTGGCGATATCAAGGGAGATCATCAGCTGGTGCGTGCAATTAAGGATCGATTTTAGGTGGAATCTATTGAGGAAGAGGAATTGTAGCAAACTGACAAGCATGGAGGCGCCAACAGCAGCAACAGCAAGATGTCTCAATTTGATGGCCGGATCCAAATGTCCTCCTCATTGTCTAAGAACCAACCAACTGGTGTCATTTGCTGTTGGAGCATCGTGGAGAGGCCACACAGAATCGGGAGCACCCACGTGGGTAGCCCATCGAAAACTACTGCCATTGGAAACAGACTCATGAGCTCTCCAAGAGACAATTCGGCCATTGCAGGCAAAATGATGTTGCAACGAGGGAGTCACGACAACTCGTAGCACTGGCATGGGTTCGTGGGCAAACAGCGTTCGATGACGATACAGATCGCCCAGCAAGGCACACAGAGCCGCCACTGGTGCCACATCTTCCACTTGATGAACCAGCAGAAGAATCGTCCTGCTGCGAGGTTCAGCAGGAGTAGTGATTGCCGTCGCCGCCATGGTCAATGTTTCTTTGGTGCCTTCAAGTGAGTTTGCTTCATCCGTTTATGGCCTGCAAAGCTGTAAAGACTCAGAACTTCATGTTGGTGTGACGGTACCGGTACCGTACCTATGGTTAAGTAGTGTCATCCAAAAAAAAATGTTGCTCTTTCTTTGCGGCAATGGCTTCCTTTGACTGCCAGGACCACACTACAGTAGGTGGATTCTAAGGTTCACCAACTAGAAATGCCGATTACAGCATGGCCAAGTAGTCAGTTCAGGTGATCATTTCTATTATCATTTTAGTACTTTTTGCAAAAAGTGAGGCTCGCCCGGCGATTTCAGTGCCGGTCGCGGCAGTTTCTTTCCGAATTGGGACTGGAAGTCAAACCGTTTCATTAAATCCCACTCAGTCACACTTCCGCGAAACGAGTCACTGTCAATCAACCAAACGCTTTTGACCACTGTAAAGAGATGCTTTCTCTCACAAGCAGTCCGCCAACGAACCAGTAAGACAATGCCAACTAACTGGTGAGATGAGAGTCAGTCGCTCGCCGAAGCAAGATGCCGTCATGAAAGAGATCCCTCACAAAGTCCACCGCGATCTCATGATCCCGTCCTCGAGATTCATCACGATCTTTGAGCCCCACAGAGCCACAAACTCACTATAAAGACAAGCAACCACACCCCACAAACAAACAGCCACAACCCCCCTTGTTGCATGCCTTGCAACCTCACTCCTACACCTCATCTGCAAGCTAGGAATCCAAAAATGGCAACAGTTCCAAGGGAGTTAGAAAGGAGACCATATAAAAGCAGTTTAAACAGCACAAACTCACCTTTCCATCCTCTTCCTCTGGAATGAAATTCGCATCTTCAATCTCGTCCCCATTGTCGTCAAACTGAACCTCGTCTTGATCAACCAACAAGTCAATAACGTTGCCGTCCCTGTCAAGCTCAAAGCCAAAGAGATTGCCCGTCTCCAATCGAGCCGCAACATCCTCCGCACTCTCCTCCTGGAGAACCGCATAACCACCACCAAGATGCGGAATCGCATCGTCATGCCACCACTGATACTGCATCGTCAGAATATCATCCACAACATTGCGGTAGCGAGCACCACCGCGACGTTCCACGAATGTACCGTCCTTCACCATTGCCGCCTTATTCTCTTGCGCTCGAATGCCCTTCTGGTCGCCAAGGCCTTGGACGACAGCGCCTCTAGCCAGGTGAATCGCCATCATCGAGTCTTCAAATCGATCCATATCCTGGACGATGCGTTCGCTTGGCGGTGCGCCTTGGAGAATACGATGGTACGCTTCCTGCCCACGCTTTGGTGTCGAGATGGTGAACTTGGTTGGGTCGTCATCATCCAAATGGCTCGTAATGATGATATGACGATTCACTGAATCATTCACGTCCTTGTTGAGAGACGTATCCCAAGCGTTGGCCTCTGGACTGTTGCCTGACGGGAACTTGTCGAGACGATGGCTGGTGAGGTTCAATCCAACAGGAAGAAGCCAGTGCGCAAGGTAGCCATGTTCGTCCATCCACTCGTAACATTCTTTGGACGTCATCTGGGACAGCGCATCGTGATAGAAGTACCAGCCGTGAAAGTTAGGTCGGTGCTTGCGAAAGAAGCGCTTGGATTCCTTGTACATGTGCTTGACGACCTCTGTGACACATCCCGTGGAATTCAGAGTAGTGGATCGTTGAATGTAGGGATTTGCACGCTTGCGGTAGTCAGTTGTGTGTGGGACCACATTCGAAGCCTTCCGACATGTGGCACGCCAACCTTTGAGAGTATTGAGATTTCTTGAGACAAACCGGATCTCAAAGGTACCACCACCTTCGTCCTCCATAGAGTAATCTTCCGTCATGTCCCGCAGCTCAAATGTTTCGGCTTCTGCAAAGTCACGAACAGTGATGATGCCGTGTTCGTTGAGCTTTTCAATCGTTGCCTTTCCAACGTAAGGAATCATTCCTTTTACGAGGTTGTCCGACATGTAGAGTTTCCCCACTTCCCGTGTCGTAGTCAACCAACCTTGCGTCTTGGCTGGACCATCCCGCATCTTCTTGATCCTGACAATCTCAATTTTGACAAGCTCGCGGTATTTCTTCAAGGAGATGATGTTCCTGCTGGTGTAATCAAATGGATCCAACACCCATCCCTCCTTGCGTTCGACAACACCATCAGCGTTGCGGTAAGAGACCATGGCACAGCCAAGTCCAAGGCGGACCTCATCCTCGTACTTGACGTTCAAACAGTACGCAGGAACAGCATGATTGTAGCTTCCGTTGGGATCTGGTTGCCCCTCGTCGTTTCTTGCAAACTGGACAACAGTTTTCCGACCAGCTTGCGCATGAACCGACCCAATCTTGCACTTGCGGTGCATCTCATCCCAGACGGCACAATCATCGACTTGAAAATCCCATCCTGCGGCTTTGAGTTTCTCAATATCAAAGCAGGGCGGAAGTGGAAACTCATAGCCAGAACCGGACGCACGAGAGGAATCGTCAGGCTGTTGTTCCGAACTGGAACTCGCACTGCCTTCGTCGTTCGCACTGACTTCATCAGGAGGGGGAGTCGGAGGCGGTTGACTGGAAATCGAGCTGGAAGAATCAGCCTTGTAAGAGGAACCAGACGATTCGTCACTGATCCAGCCGTCCAAGCCCAACACAACTTGTCGCTGAGGTAGTTCCTTCGGAGGATCCGTCAGCGCAGCCTCACGAAGCCGGTCAGGAACATCAACATCATGTCCCATGCGAAGCAAGAGCTGTGTAGCCCAACCATGACAACGAAGTGCCCAAGGGGAGTTGACATCCCTCTTGCCTTGCTTCCGCTTGCGAATTGGCACCACCCTGTGCTTGAGTCGTTTCTTCAAGCCATCGACGGCAGACCTGGAATAAGGGACCAAGCCTCTTTCAATTCGAAGACGATTCAGATGTTGCATCGCCATTGTCACGCTCATGCTCTTCCGTTCAATGCAGTTGGCAATGAAGACGGCATCAAACGAGTTGTTTGGGATGATGACGGGCTTGAGTCCAGCATGAACCCGCTGGCCAGTGTACACAATGTGTTGCTCGCAGCAGTGATGCAAGTCTGTGAAGACGTCAACATACTTGGTCCGGTTGCTTTCTTCGTACAAGTCTCTGCGTATCTTGACTTGCGTGCCGTTGATGCCAATCCATGGAGTGTCTTTCGTGTCCTCGTGGAATGCATACTTGTAAGCATAAAGATATGCAATAGCCATCTTCTTCGCTCTCTCCTCGGGCAATATCTGCGCCAAAGCAGCCTTGACTTTCTGCTCATCCGGAATGTAATCCATGTCATCGTCATGTTGATCAGGATCCGAGTCGTCTTCTTCCATTGAGTCTTCGTCAGGCTTGAGGCGATCCGCCAAGGACCGGAGGGGCTCCTCCTCATCGGAGGAAAGATCTGCAAGACGAGCATGATGAGCACGACGGGTTGGACTCATCCCCAAAGCTTCAGCCACTTCACTCGCACGCTTGACACGCTTTGCTATTGCTTCATCATGAGGAGTCTGAGGAGTGACAGTCTGTTGAGCCGGCTTCTTCCTCTTCTTCTTCTTGGCACTCAATCTCCTGCCCTTGCGGCGCTTTGGGGCAACCGGATTGGGATTCGGCATGGTGGAAGGATCAACGACGGACGAAGAGATCAGTCAACGACGGACGGAAGGGTGAACCCAATGGAGGGAGCGTGGATCGGAAGCCTTGTACCGGTAAGATAACAGCGACGGAGAAGACAACAGCCCAAGAAGAAGGATCCCAATGAAACGACGGCAGACCGAACGGCCGATCCCCATGGTCGATCGATCGATCGACTGAAGAAGAAAGATAATGAAGAGCCACCATTTCGACAGAGCTTTCCCTGTAAAGGTGTGTATTTCGAATTTATGAGACGCTTTCCGCGAAGAATGAAGATGCCTCCGACTGATTCGGATGCGTATCTTGTGTCAGTTTGGATCGATCATGATCTTCCTCTTTAGTGCGTTCGTGCTGGCCATCTTCCACATGAGCACGAAGCGGATGCCGATGGTCCCAAATATCGATCCCATCTGACAAAGAGGCATTACATCATTGTCGAAACTTCATTCGGATGGTTACTCGGAAGGAGTTGGTGTGTTGTGAGAGGAGTGACGTGCACTCGTGGAGGGTGTCAACAGCAAGAACATGCTGACTGATCGTGCACACATGAACGAAAATAGATGCCCATGGTGGGATGCGATTTACTTTGGGTGCAACGGCTAAATCCAAACTGTGAAAGAGGTTCTGTGACTGGAGAGCCGGCCATCTAGTTTAAAACTAAGCCTCACATTTTGACCTCACATTTTCGAAATCCCATGAAAATCAGCGATTTCAGTCAATCCAATCGACTGTGCAAGCTCTGTGAGATGAGGAAGTCATCAATCCAGCAAAAACGTTTCGTCAGTCTACAGCTAATACCTATGGGCACAGACTGACGAAACGTTTTTGCCCATTTGGAGCTTCCCTTATCTGGTAGACGTTGTACAAGATTCGATTCCGGACTGAAGCATCAGTACGGTACTAACACCTTGTGCCACCAACATGTTCTTTTTGAGTCATAGCTTACGGCATCCTCTATATATTATTGGAGCATATGAGATTTAGTTGCCTTTCGGAGAGTAATGTTCTTTGTGGTCTGCTTAACCACTGACGTCATTAATTACTGAGTACCCATACTGGATGGAGTAATCCTTCGCAGCTTACTTAGTCTACTTCTTACGGTACTTACTTGGAGTTTGAAGTGGAAGCTCAGCCAGCTGGCAAGACAACATACTACAACATGCAGAAGCTACGCAGATTGCAGGTGGTTGAAAGGCTTTGAAGTTTGAAGTTTGGAGCACTTTCTTCGCGGTTCCATTTCCGTGAAAGGGGAAGGTGATCCGATCATGCGATTACACTGTAGACATACATTACATCTACAGGACCGGTACCACCGGTACTGTACTGTAGACATTGAGGACAGCCACGTAAGTAAGTGAGCTCAATGCAAGTGCTGCTCAAGTACCGGTACCACCAACCCGCAAAATACAGTAGCTCAAATTATTATGTTCCGCTTGTTCGTGTTGCTCCGCTGGAAGTGCATTTCCATGATGAGTGAAGGCAAAGCTAGCTAGGCAGTAGCTTGGCACAAGCGCACAAGCTACCTTTTATCGATGAAGTAAAACCACTCAACGTTACTAAACCAAAGCACACGCACTGCACACGCTGGAGCTTGAGTTTGCGGATTATTCCTCATTGACATACCATTATCAAAGTACCGGTACTGTATCAGGCAGCTAAGTGATTGCCCTGTCTGCACTGCAGTTATTACATGTACTTTGCTTGAAGAGGACTCTCTCTTCAAGAAGACGCTCTCGCTATACGGTGGTACATCTCCAGGTTGTCTGATTGCTGTTGGACTTCCTCAAAACTAGTTGAACATGTCTGAAGACCACAGGAGGACTGCGCATGGACACGGCAATGGCAATGACAATGGCCGCCACGATCATGATGAGTTCAGCGACTGTGATTGCAACACCATTCCGCCCAGTGAGCTTGCCAGAATGCTGCGTGAAGCAGAGAAGCAACGACAGCAAGAAGCGGGGCAAAGCTCTGCTACCCTCGGTGCTACCCTGCATGCAAGCGGAGTGCCCCAAGCCCAAGGAGAAGAAGCATTGGGTACTGCTGCAGAGAAAGATACTGGAAGAACACAAGCATGCGATGCTGCAGCTGGGGCTGCCACAATAAATGACAGTGACGTTGAAGACCAAAGACAAGACGCCAATGTTCTACTACATGTAGCACACAGTGTAGGCATGGTAGAGAACCCCCCAAGCAATAAAGACGCCAAGGAACTAGAAATGGTAGATCATTACATGTATCATCAACGCCACAACGAGTACCCCTTACGAGGCGCACCTCGGCAATTACCACATTCCAAGGTCGATGGTCAAGACGATGATGATCAAAAACACGTGCCGACGCAGCTTCTCAAAGAAGACATTATGGACGCGAACAAAGCTTGGATCTCGGACATGGCAGCGCGATGTTCCTCCGTGGTGGGGGCCATTGCAGTCGACGGGATCTCTACTAGTATGACAGATGACAACCTCTCCACCCAGGGGAGCATTCAGATTGGGGATCGTGACGGCGACGGCGACGACTCAAGCGAGCAAGACAGCCTGAACATGTGTACTAGCGCTGTCTCGTTCCACCCAAGAAGAGGAACTCGCCCCCAACGGGAGTATGATCCCGAGGCCCCGAGCGCTGATCGCCAACGACCAACAGGCATCGATTCTCAGCTGGTGCATGCTACCTTGGTTCCGGAAGGGGCTGACTCCAATGATAGACGGCACACGAACTTCCAGTCTGCCGTACCAGTTTCTTCTGCTACTGGAAACAACAGCAGGAGAAGCAAAGAGGACCGACAGGGCATGATGATGGCCTTTTTTGAGTGCAAGCGATGCTGGATTTGGTTGGCCGTATTGGTCGTTACAGCGGTAATAGTGACAATCAATGTGATGGCCGGCAAGGAAGCAAGCGGGAGAGAATCCAGTGAGGGATCCAATCCGCAAGTATTCTTTTCTGGCAGTGGAGGAAGCAATCGTTCTGTTGATACCTCCTTCAACATGGGGGGCATGCTCGACCCGTGCAAAGATGCTGCTTTCTGTGAACACTTACCCGCTTCCACCCGACAACGCATACAGGAGGGCCCCGCTGATTCACCCCAAGTCCAAGCCTTGCAATGGATGACCCAAGATCCACATCTCGACGAATATCCCACTTGGCGTCAAATACAGCGATACGCTCTCGCAACTTTTTACTTTGCCACTCTAGGACCGCAGTGGACGGTGTCGAATCATTGGCTCTCCTATGATGTGTCCGAGTGCTCCTGGACTACAAAGATGGACTTTGAAAGTCTGGTTAATATCACTGCAGACCAGGCCGTTCAAGGCATGGTGCAACGATTCCGAGATAGTGGAGTACATGCGGGTGGTATCCATTGGCAGGATCTGATACCCCATGCCAGCGGACATCATCATCGCCGTCAGTTACAAGAAGGGCATCAACATCATCATCACGAGACTCCTATGCTCGCTGCCACGGGGCGCCACCACGACTTTCCTAATCACACTGCTGCAGAGACGCACGAGGGAGGCAGCCTCGTGCATCCAGCGAATCACGTTACGATGGATGCTGTCCACCATGAGAATCTCGAAGGTGCGAGTGAACACCACCACCACGTGTCGGAGGAAGACCATGTGCACTTACAGAACTACTGCGATGAGAATGGAGTTTATCGACGCCTCTGGCCGTACCACAATCAGTAAGTTTTGGAAGACCTTGATGAGAAGCGGATGCAGCGAAGGTTCTTGCTTACATGGATCGAGACTGACTCGGACATGGTTGCTTCGTTTCCTCCATCCACCAGCTTGCAGGGTACCCTACCACCGGAACTTTTTCTTCTCTCAAAGCTACAAGTAAGTGCAGAGATGGTGTACACAGTGTACCCCGCCTGTCGTGACGACACATGATGCATGTCACTCATGTATCACCTATTCCTTGCCAGGTTCTCGGTTTGTGCAGCAATCCCGAGCTCGGGGGGCGACTGAACACGGAGCTGGGTTTGTTGTCGGACCTCCAGTTTTTCTTTGCAGATTTTAACTCATTCACTGGTAGAATCCCGTCTGAGATTGGCCTGCTAAGCTCACTACGGCTCTTGTCGATGGATATTCAGCCACTGATCACGGGGTCCTTGCCTTCTGAACTTGGAAAACTCACGAATCTCTTCTACATGAGTCTCTCCAAGTATGATAACCTTCGCGGTGTCTTGCCTTCGACACTTGGGCAGCTCTCTGATAGCTTGCAGGTTTTGGATTTCACCAGTACTTGCTTGACTGGAAGTCTCCCTTCGGAGCTTGGGTCTCTATCGCGGCTCCAAATTCTCCGGGTGACATCTAATCCGGTGACCGGAACAATCCCTGTTGAGTATGGGTCCTTGGGAGCTGGGCAGTTGAAACTTCTAAACTTGAGGCTCAATTCGCTGACGGGTACGATTCCACCCAGTCTCTCGAAGCTATCATCCATGTTCTACCTTGCCTTGTGCGACAACGCTTTGGAGGGAACCATTCCTCGAGAACTATACTCTGGGCTTTCTCGTCTGGGCGAGCTGCACTTGGACAGCAACCTTTTAACAGGCACAATCGCCACAGAGATTGGTTTGCTGGGAAACAGTCTCCGAACTTTGATTGTCAGCGAAACGGCATTGACCGGGACGTTGCCATTGGAACTCTCGAGGTTGCACTATTTGGAGTATCTAAACATACGCAGCACGAACATTCAAGGCACTCTATCCCATTCCTTTGTGTCAGGTTGGACACCCAATTTAAAAGGTCTGGCCTTCTCCGACACATTGATTACGGGGACCATCCCGTCTGACTTTTGCGCGCTTTCGGGTTTCTTGGACTTCACTTGTTCCAGTCAGCTCTGCGGTTGCTATTGCGTTTGTCTCATTTAGATGCCCAACATCATTAATTGAGACGTCCGCCCCAACACAAAAGTCGGTCGAATAAACCATTCTCTTACATGGTGTCAGTTGCTTATAAAACGGTCTTTTTGAGAAAAAGCATGTGCAAAGTCAGCTAATCTTGTTAATTCTACTTTGGTATGCAAAGAGCGTCTCTCTGTTTCCCCATAGGAGTCTTCACTCCCATCGTCTACCTCACAAAGACGGCTGGCCTCATTTTCGTTGCACAACGCAAGCGATGAACTACGGTAGCACTGAGCCAGCAAAGGGAAATTGAAGTCGCAGGGATGTTGGCAAAGGAGACTGCAACGCGAGCAACCCTTTTGTGCCACCCACTTGTTGTTATCGCATCAAGCAACCTTTACTCGTCGAACTCCCATGTCGTGCTTGGCTTTGGACACACTGCAGCCAAGCCAAAAAACCGCCAGCAACCACCCATCCCAGTGGGCAAACCTGTGCCGAATCTGTCGAAAACATCGACTCACCGTGTCTACTGTTGACGACGCACATTATCACTCACGGAACCTCCGCCCAACTTTTGAATCAGACTTTCTCTCGGGGCCTCGACCATTTCCTTCTGCCCCAGCCAGCATCTGTGCAGTGCAGCCAACTCCGACTTTTTACAACTGGGCCGACACTCCGCCTTCGGTGCTTTCGTTGGTCTCATCTGGAGCATGGTTACTATTAGTTGACGAAGGATTCTCCACATCAATGGTGTTGCCTCCTGTGTTGTTTCCGGATTCGTCTGATGAGGGTCCGCCAACATCTCCTTCTTCCAACTGTGCTGTAGTAACCCGGTTGTCAATGTGAATTGTTCTGTGTCCACTTGTTTCCTGCTGTTCTCCTGGTGCCATTACAACAATACCACCTAGCTCCTCCTCCTCCTCCATCGACAGTGTGGCTGGGTCCCACTGAAACATGGGTGTTTCGATGCCTTGTTCTTCATCCGCACTGATATCATTATTAATGTTGTGGATATTATGGTTGTTGTTGTCTTCTTCCAACAAATCGAGGGGGTCCACCACAAAATCTCTTCTGCAAATGGGACACAAGGGTCCCTCTCTTTGTTTCATGAGCCACTTTTCAATGCAACTGGCATGGAAGTGATGATCACAGGATTCATTGGACGACCATACAATATCCGATCCAACCTGGTCAGAGGAAACAAAACAAGCAGCAGAATTATAATGTCAGCAAGAATCCAATTGAAATTCTAGCCATTCTAAATATTGCCCCTAGCCACGGACGGTTGTTGTTTCTTCCTTTCTTACGTACCTTGTAGTTGGATAAACAGATGGTGCAATGCCCAGGCGTCAATCTCATTTCTCGCTCATCATCACCTTGTTGTTGTTGTCTCTGGGGTTGTCTAGTTGGATCCAGAAAGCAACTTCCACCCATGGGAAGCCCTGGAACTGGAATTCGAATCTGCAGGGTTTCTTCGTCATCATAAGGATTATTTTGCAACGCTTCTTTGGGTGGATCGTCTCCTCCTGCTACATGTCCTGGAGAGCTGTGATGGCTTTCTCCTCCTTGCTCCTCCTCGTCCTGTGATTTTGCCTCAATGACACCGTGCTCCTGTCTGGGACTGTCATCCTCCAAATCGTTTTTGGCAGCTTGAGGTACTGTTTCAGTGTCATTACTGATATTGTTGTCGTGTTCTTGTGCTTGTACTTCTTGTGATGCATCATCATCGTCATCATCATCTTTTGGTGCCTTGTACTTTTCACTTTCAAAGTTAAAGTTCAAGAAACTCCCTGCTCGCTGGACAGGTTTGGGAGGAGGATTGTCAGGGGTGCTGTTGCTGCTGCTATTGTGATTGTCAGGGCCATCCACCAACTCTGGAAAATTTTCCTCTTTCAGAATCTGTGGAATGTCAGTAAGAAAACATGTCAGTCAGACGGCACAATCGTCGCAAATAGCAAATTTGGGGTCCTCCTAGCTGGCTAGCCTAGCCCTCTTTTTGCTTTGTTTTTGGTGGTACTGTACAAATCACTCACCATTCGTACGGGCATCATCAACTGTACGATTCTGGCTCTTCGTTCTTCAATGTATTTTCTTCTAGCGGCTCTATTTTCGTCTCGATGTTGTGTCGACAATTCCAACGCCGCGGAAAAGTCGAGTTCGAGTTCTCGTCGCGCATTTTCTTCAAAACAATGGAGACGAAAGTAGTAAAAGACGGGCACCACAAAACACAATCCCAACACACAGAGGTACAGAATCGTCAAGACGGTCCGACCGCGCGACTGTGATGTTTCGCTTTGCGGTTGTGGATTATTATTATTGTACACGGACGAATCGGCAAGACTGGGGTGCATGCCATCTACGGGTGGTTGTTGTTCGCCGCCTCCATAGGCCGTTGCCTGCAATTGACGGCGCAGAAACAGTTCCGTGTCATACAGCAAACTCAGCGCTGTTCTGGCGGAAGCACTCATACTGGTCGTGTCGGTAATGGTAGTCATCTAGTTCTTCTTGGTCTTGTACAATCAACTAACTCAGTTGTGGTCCATCTATCGTACCGTATCGATCATCCAACCACTGCAGTCAGTCTCTGATGATGAGATAGATCAAGACTTCTATAAAGAAAGAAGCAATGAGACCTCTCTTCGAAGGCAATGGATCAGATACAGTACCTGTGGAGATTGGGTGATTATCCGCCTACTGTGGACGATGTATTACCGGTCAGTAGCTGTGTTCCTTGAGTTCCGGTTTCTCGCTCTCGTGTTCTTCTTTTGACGCAAGAATGATCAAAGCATCTATTGAGTGCCGCTTGCGACCCGCCACAGTAATGCTTCCCCATCAAGGTCATCGTGGGAGGTTACCGTGGATACTTCAAGCCAACTTTCAATAAGGTGAAGGCTCCACTATCTCCACAGATACCGGTACAGTACCGTACTGTAGACAGATAGACACATGGATGCGCATTGCCTAGCCTCGCCCCCCTCGCTCCTTAACGTATCTATTTAATTAAGTACTTGTTTCTGGATGCACAAGCTACTAGTACATTTTATGGGTGCCTGAATGCATACCGTAGATACACAACTAAAATTTGACAATGTCTCCGTCTGGCATTGAGAGTTCCTTTCAGAGGTACAGGAGGTTGCATTTCCCGCCCCCAAATCGACAGTTAAGTTGTGTCTTTGCCACCAAGACTTTTTTTGCAAGCGAGCCTGAGATCTATGCCTGCCGTGACGGACTGGGAACAGTAAGCCATTCAACCATCTAGGTACCCAACATTGCTGGTGTAGGTATCTATAGATATCCATGTATTACGAGAGAAGCACGCTTTATGGTCGTCCATGGCTGTTTATCGCCATGCACGGCTCTCTGTGCCCGAAGATTTCCCTCTATCAAGCTCAAGAAGCTCACAATAGTAGTGGTCAAGAAACAATCAGACAGCAACCAGAACCAATAGACTCAGCCTATCAGTCGTGACCATGAGTGGCCGTTTGCCATTTTTCGCTACGTGCAACCAGGTGCTCGCGATTCCAACCATGCACCCCACATCTTCCTGATCCCAACCGTAACGATGATGATGACGATCCATATTTATTCTGATGAAACCGATTTGTCAACCTTGTCCGTGTTCAGCGGCATGATCCCATCGCTCGTTTGCACAACGTTCTCCACCAACAGCTCCCCATCGTCCCTCGTTTCAAGCGTCGCTCCACAACGACGTTGCGTCATGAGATAACCCCTCACAGCAACTATTGGAATGAACAAAATGGCACCGGTCCAATTTTGGAAAGCCACAATTCACAGGAACATGTTTGCGGAAACTTGCCCAAAGTAGCCCCCCTCAAAGACGATTCTAGATCTTGTCCCAAACGGTAAACAGAGCAGAACATACAAGTTTTTAGCATGATCTTGGCATCCGAGATGCACGGTCACGTTGGGCAAGGGACGCAACCAAACCCGATTTGTTTGCCGTCTCGTGGGTCAACCCAATCAGCGTCCTTCCAGTTCTGGGTAAAGTTCGTCCATCGGGAAAACGACGACGGTCCCCAACCCACAAAGCCTAGTATCTACGAGTGGTTTGGTCATCACTAATTTTAAACACTCTTTTAACACTCTTTTCTGCACGATTCGTCGTAACACTACCGTTTTTGAATTGACGGCCCTGTCGGCCAAGTTTGCCATGCCAAGCCATGGAAGAAGTGATCCTGCCAAATGGAATCAAATGACACGACTATGAATCCGCCATTACGACCATGTCATTGCAGTAACTGTACGAAATGTTGGTTCCAGTGCAACCGGGCCGGGACATACAAGACTTTTTGCAGCCATCTCCAAACCTGACGACGGGCCATTCCATTTATCTATCGTCCCAGTGGGTTCCAGCCAGAAGCGTCCTTGCCTTAAGGGCCCGAGCAGGGTACCGTACCGGAGTGCCAGCCGCAAACAAAAGCACGGCGCCTTTTGGTGCAAATCTACGTCCAACTGTTCCTGCTGGGCTAGCTAGCTAGCTAGCCCGTTTCACCGAACTGATACACCTACCAGTAGGTTGGAATACTGCAGAAACAAGCTTGTTCCCAAGGGGTTGTGGTTTTTACGAGACCAGAGCCCTCTCCGTGTGCTCGCTGATTAGCTAGCTGGCCAGTGTCTTTTGCTCGACTGAATTGAATCGCTTTCTCTTGGAGCAACGAGCAACACCACCAGCTCTTTTGGTGGACTCTTGTCAATATTAACTCCCAGGATAGGTGTCTCGGTTCCGAGTTGCAATACTCCGTGTGGAATTTCCCACGGCCGGAGAACACGCTGGTTGTTGCAGGTTGTCAAACGATTTTCGGTAAAATCATAGGTGCCTTGACTCTTAAAAGGCTTTTCTCAAGTACTGGACTGCTCCACTTAACAACAGGGACCGAAAAGATTACAACCCTCCGCTCCTATTACCGTAAGCCACACAATCAAGCAATCAAGCAGGTTTGCTCACTCGTGTGGTGGTTCTTGTGTCCATGCAGAAAAGCAGCCCTCACAATTCAAAAAGAAATTTGCCTCGTTTGCACATACCTTGTCATCAACCTGGCTTGGGAAGGAACAGCCAGTCAAAGGTTTGCAGAGTCTCTCATTTGGTCTTATCTCGTCTAGTCTTTCAGAATCGAAGCTTCTGAAGATCGTAGAGAGGTCTTTCAAACAAGATGAACCGATCTGAAATAACATTGCCTCCATCCGATATCCACGCCGTAAAGGTCGACGACGGAGTCGGCTTGGAAGCTGCCAACGATACAGGAATGACTGCTTCTCGAAAACCAGTCTTTGCTCCGTGGACTGCTGCTACCCAATGGGTCCATGGTGGCATGACAAAGGCTGTTGTTGCTTCCTCCCTTTTTGCTTCTCGCCGTCCCAAAACCTTTGTGTATGGAATTTCTTTTCTAAGTTTGGCGCTAATCACTGTGGGGTTCTTTACCAACTTTGAGCTGGTACTGGAATTCGATGCGGTCTTCACACCCACTGGAAGCCAACCAGCCATGGTAAGTCATTTGCTTGTGAGAGGAACAGATGATGCACATAGTTGGATCGTCGTCTCCTAACGTATTCTTAATAAAATCCCAGCACAAAGATTGGGTGTACTCGGACGAAGGATTCCCTGATACTGTCCGCAAGATTGCACTCATGATGCACAAGGATGGAGGCAATGTCTTGACCACGGGGGCAATGGAACGGGTGTTCTTGGGCGTTGATACAATCCGGGACACGGAGGGATACAATGAACTCTGCCTCCAGGGCACGTACATAGACTTTGAAGGAGTCAAGACATGTCGTGTCCTCAGTGCTACGGGCTATTTCGATCACCATGAGCTGGATGTCTTTCAAGAGCAAGTGCACTCTGATGAGGAATTGCGCCAGGCACTTTCACCCTTTGAGTTTGCCAATGGCTCTCCAGTGTACCATGACTCAATTCTCGGCAACTGGAAGAAGGATGCCACTGGAAACTTGACTTCTGCCCAATCCTTCCTCGTCACAGTGGAGATTCCCGATGTAGATGACAGCAATGCCTTTGAATCCAAAATGCTCGAGCGCTTGGATGACCTCCGCAGAGAATGGAGCCAAAAAGACGAAGAATCCGGTGACAAAATCTTGGAAATGGACATTGTAAGTGCAAAGGGGCTCCACAACAAACCACATCTGCCTTTTGCTATTTGATCCTAATCATCCATTGTTCTGAAAATTGCTGCTGCAACAAACCTGCTGACAGATCACAATCTATGCCTATGAGGTCGAGTATCAAAGAGCCATAGAAGGTGAGCGTCCGAATACTGCTTCGTTTAAATCTTTTCAATCACAGACCAAACACTCACCTATCTATAATCTCTATCAGCTGACTTGTGGCTCGTCCCTCTGGTGGGAATCATGATGTGCTCTTTTGTGGCCGTGACCTTTGCATCTTATGGATTTGGCCACGTGCATGCCAAGTCTCGGACTTTGCTTGGGGCTTTGGCCGTCTTGACTATCAGCATGTCGTTCATGGCGGGCACTGGGCTCATGTTCCTGTGTGGAGTTCCTTTCACGAGCATCACACAGATTCTACCTTTCGTAATCTTTGGCATTGGACTTGATGATACCTATATCATTGCAGGCGCATACTTTCGAACAGACCCAACGTTGGACGTGCTGGAACGTATCCGAATCACCATGGTTGAGGTAGCCCACAGCATTTCGTTGACTACCATCACAACAATATTTGCCTTTCTCCTTGGACTCATGTCCAGCTTGCCAGGTGTGCGGTGGCTTTGCATGTACGCCTTTACTACCATCTTTATTGACTTCGTCTTCCAAATCACGTTGTTCCCTGCATTCATTGTCTTGGATGAACGACGAATCCAAGCAAAGAAGCGAGATTGCTGTTTTTGGCTTCCCGAAAAGCAAACAGAGGATGATGAGGAAGTCCAAGAGGACTCCACAATGCCTGCTATCAAGGACGCTGCTCTGGAAACGGAGGGCTCGGCTGGCAGTACCACCTCTTCTGAGAACTCTGAGACTTGTACCAAGAGCATACCAGAGCGCATCATGAGTACCTACGCCGAAATTCTGTTGCGGCCACACATGAAAGCTCTTGTTCTTGTGCTGTTCGGGGCTTTATTTGGATGTTGTGCTTATAGTGCAACTCTCTTGACGCAAGAGGTAAGAAAGAGAGCTAGAACTTGTTGTCGCCACTCTCAAGTCCCATCGCACTGACCCTGTGGGCTTCTCATTATCTTTCTTGGTTCAGTTCAAGGTTGGAGATTTTGTGCCAGATGACAGCTATCTCAGAGATGTGCTCAACTCTTTTGAAAACTATGCCTCAGTGGTTCGTCCAATTGCTGTGTACTTTCGAAATATCGATCAAACAGATCCGGACATGCAGGCCCAGATGGTTCAATATGTCAACGACCTTGAGTCTTTGGAAGAGCTCAGCAGCAGTACAGTCAACCTGACAGGGGTAGACGGAGCCCCAGCCACGGACGTGAAACCGTTTTGCTGGGTGAGGGATTTCCAGCAGCTGGCTACGGAGTTTTCCGACCAGCCAGAGTTTGCCTTCATTCAGAACCTCACCTTCATTGAACAGTTGAACCTGGCTCTTGCACAACCCACTGTACGAGAGATCTATGGCCAAGACATCGTGCGAGATGAGTCTGGAAACATCACCGCGTCGCGATGTTGGCTCTTCCTTACTGACATTGATTTGGATTCTGTGGAAGCACAGATTGACCTGCTGCATAAGCAAAGGGCGGTAGGCGCAACACAACCAGCAAATTTGGGCAAGCCCAAGGGCGGATGGTCGTGAGTAGGCTCTTGGGAAACAACAATGGTTGTGTATCCGTTTCTTCTGCTAACATTGCCATCTTATCACCCTCCATCGCTCTCCAGATTCTTCTTCTTTGATGAGATGCTCTTCTACTGGGAAGCATATGATGTCTCGGTGAAGGAGCTGTACTTCACAGTTGTCTCTGGGGTTGTTGCTTTGACTGTCATTGCCTTTGTTCTAATTCCACACTGGACTGCTGTGTGCTTTGTAACACCCATGATTGTCATGTTATATGTGAATTTTCTTGGAACGCTGCAGTTCTTTGGTCTCCACATCAACGGTATCTTTTACATATGTGTGGTTGTGTCGGTTGGTCTCTTGGTGGACTTCTTATTGCACATCCTTATGAGATACTATGAGACTTCACCCGACAAGACCCGGAATGAACGCGTCAAGGAGACACTCGAGACCATGGGGGCATCCATCATGCTGGGAGGTTTGACAACTTTTCTTGGAATCGTACCTCTGTGCATCTCCTCTACCAAGATCTTCATGACTGTCTTTTTGGCCTTCTTTGGAATGGTTGTACTTGGGATTGCTCATGGTTTGATTCTCTTGCCTGTGATATTGTCATTGGTGGGGCCCAGGACAGGCTTGGTTGCTCTTCACAGCAGTAGCAATGGACATGCAGAGGTTCTGGCTGCGGACAGTGAGCAAACCAAAAAGCGAAAAAACACTCATCCTCAACATCAATCAACCATGGCTTCGTTTTCCACCGATTCCATCAAACAGGAAGCCTCCAGCAGCCATGGCAACGAAGCACAGGTTGTGATGCGACCTCCTTTGGGGAAGGCAACAACTCATGGAATCTTGGACGATATCTCAGATGAAATCTCGGTTTAGTTAGAAAGCATACGTTCATCTAGCACATAGTTTAATTGCTCAAAGAAAAGCGCAGGCTGCAACAAAAGCGCAGCAAGCACTGCATTAGCCTTTGACCGGGGTGAAGGTCCACCCTTTATCCAGAAGAGTTCAGCGGCTCATCTGATAAAGCTGATATGGATTTGATCTCCAGAAACAACCAACCGTGGATCATGGAGAATGGCAATGATTTGTTCTTGTTTGGCATCTTTTCCTTTGGCGAGTGCGTGTTGTCGACCAAGACCTTGAGGGTCGCTTTCGCAATCGTTTTCCGTTTGTTGCTGTAATCCGTCCTCCAATCGGTTTTGAGTTCATTGTAGACACAACGTAAGAATACTTATTGATACAGTATATTGGTCGCCCTTCACCGGCGGATGCTGCAGAAACCTAAAAACGCAAACAGAGATATCAGGTACGATGTACTAGTTTTGTAGCTACTAGAAGTCCTTAATCCCCCGGTACTTATCCTGACTATAGAAGATGCAAACATGTGGTCAAAAAAGGTTCGAGCGAGCACCCCTTGAAGGCCAACAAGCTTTGATTGGCTCTAGCTAGTGAGATGCAAAACAGAAATTCGGAATGACCTACTAAGGCGAATCGTTCAATCGAAGAGCCCATCCTTGGTACGACTCACAGCCTCTTCGACACTCTCCACCAATTCACAGTCAAGCGTGAGCATCTCGACAGCGGAGCCCAAGTTCCTGGAGTTCACGGCGACCCAGAGTTCGGACGTGTCGGCGGTGATGGGGACAGTGCATTCTTCAGCACTGTCATCTCCAACACTAACACAGAGTTGCTGACCGAGAATAGCGTTTTGGATGCGCAGGTCGCCGTCTCCTCCCAAAGTACCATCCCCAGAAAGGGTGCATTTCAGACCACCTTCGCTAACGCTGTCCACGTCAACGACGTACCAATTCACGTAGCCATTTTCCAAAGAAAAGGACGCCGCAAAGGGAGGCACCTCTGTGTAGATGTTTGTTACCGCCGCAAGCTGACAACTAACGGCAAGCTCGGTGACATTGGCAGAGCTTAGGCTTATCACGTCAACTTGCACAGTCGCACCTGCAGTAGGGATATTGATTTGGCAAAACTCTTCCGATTGGCCTAGCGTTGAGTAACACGTATAACCGTCGACCCCACTTTCATCCGTGACACTGACATAAAGGTCAACGTCCTCTGTGGTGTCCGCTGACATGGCACATTGCACCATACTCGGTGCTTCTGAAGCGTTCAATAAAAACTTGACTTCTTCGAGAGCACCAAGGTCAAAGATTGCCGGAACCTCAGGCTGCAAGATTGGCAGATCTCCAGCGGCTCCTGCAGCAGCTCCTGCAGAGCACTGACCGACGACAGGTAGACCAGGACCGCCTTCAGTCCACTGATTCTTGAGAGCATCTAGGTACGTGTAGTAGCCACCAAGGACACCTCCCTCGTCAAAGCCAATGCCTTGGCAAAAGTCGATGACCGCCAAACCAGGGTCAACGTCGGGACATGACGCCACAATGTTATCAATATTATGGGTCCTGGAGCAGTTTTTATCGTAGTCATTTTCACAGGAGCCGCATGCCATTCCGTTGATGGAAACAGGACAGTCGCGCGCATCACACACGGTATTGCCGTCGGGGAAAGTGCGGCAGGTTTCAGTGTCCCGGCTTGTGTCTCCGGAATCACTGGCAGAATACGAGTAGGACCTGGATTCTTTGTAACAGAATGGATCTGTGATGCTGGTATTGTAGCAAATCTCGCAAGTGTCAGAGCAGGTCATGTTGATGACCTCGGTCGTCTCGGCGGGCCCTTCGATAACTGACGTTTCGCAAGGCGTGCAAGTAGCTTGAGTCTCCCCGTTCATTTCTGACGTTCGAATGTATTCACATTCCGAAATTTGCGTGCTCGGGCTAATATCCAACTCCAGCGTTTCACCAAGGACTTCAGTGACATTCACGGCAGAGGAAACAAAAATGTAATAGAGACTTTCTTGGCTGATGTTGAAATTGACCAATGTCACCGAGTCAGAATATACATCAGCAAAGCTTGTATTGTATGCCAAACAAGTAAGAGCGGCGCAAGTCTCTTCTTGATCTATGACTGTATTGGGAACTTCCATGACAGACACCGTCCATTCCAATGTCTCCAAGAGAGAAGGATCGCCGCCATAGATAAGCCCAGTGGCCACAACGTCGAGGTTGACTCCTGGATCCCCTTCAATGAAGAGGCCGTACCAAGCACCATAGGCAGGTGCTGCATCAGGAGGAAGACAGGAAGGAGGCACGTTTGCCCAGTCTTCAGCCTGGAGCGGTAAGAAAATCTCTTCCGAGGCGCCAAACATACTGCGATCACCCATATTACCCTCCGGCACAATCACATCATAGGCTTCCACGCAAGTTGGGCGGGCATACAAGCATCCATCCTCACAGTCATCGCCATACACGGCCAATGGCTTCAGCATCAAGGTGCTGGTAGCAACAACAACGGCAGCAGTGATCTTCATGGTCTCTTTCTTTTCTCTCGCGCTGCTACTAGTATTTTGATGCACAGAATGAGAAAAAAATGAAGCAAATGACTGAAGCAGTACGATGGATGACTGTCCTGATCCTGATATCCTGATTCCTGATGGCAAACAGAGTCATAATCTGGGTCATTGGTACGGTAATTGTACGTGCGTGCAAACTGGTACAATTGTACTGAGCACTATGCATACTTGTTCTCCGTACCAGTACACCTGCAGCCTGCAGCTGACATTCTCACTTTTGCTACAGATTATTGGAGGTTCGCAGGGCAAAAATGCGGAAAGTTGCAATTGACGAACTCCATGGAACAGTTTAGAGCCACTACCGGTACAGCGTGGCATAGGCGTTCCCAACTGATTTTATTTTTAAAAACTCAAAGAAATAATTGTTCATTGCATATTTTCGGCCGATTGAGTTTTTTCAGCTCGTGCATGAGCATTCCTTTTGCAGAAACCGCATGCAATTCCGCTCTACATGTACAGCAACCAGCTTCGTACATGTAGGTTGCCTGGCAAATGGCAAACCGCTACTCCTCTCGGTCTCTCGGTCAACAATCACTTTGCCATTTTTTAACTTTTGGCATCTTCAGCCATCAACCGGCGTTGCGGTCGCTTCGACCCCAACGTTCCAAGAAGATGAGGTTGGTCACATCCCATGATCAAGTAACTGTGTGTGCGACAGCTGTGCGAACTTATAGGTCCTGGAGCAGCTTTTCGTCGCGTGCCGGAACCACGAAATATCGTTTTGACAAAATCGTTTTTATGCATACTCGACGACGAAGTGTGGCTATCACATCGATTGATGACGATGGGCGGGCAGTGATGTGCCAATCAACGCTTTCCCTCATAAACCACAACAACGAAGCACTCTAAAGTTTTTATCATCCTGACTTGAGGCACCAAGTTGCACAATAGAAAGATGAAGCAAGAGCCGTCGTCAGCCAAGACGAGCTCCGTTGAGAAACCATTCTTGAGCCGTCGCATGAGTAGCAGCAGCTTGAGCAGCTGCAGTAACTCTACGGCAACAGACCATGATGCAACGAACGATGACAACAAGTCATTCCCTGTGTGTGCCGATGAGCCAAATCTATACCAGATACCCCCAGATCTGCCACCAGTCTACCAACCGTTGCCCACCTGGTTGGTCGCGTCATTGGCGGCGTCCGTCATTTGGAGTTTCCGCACATTCAACCAGACAACCAACGGTGAATGGAGCATGTTCGTGATGATGATTGCTCTAGTCGAAGCAGTTGCCATTGGTGTACTGCTAAAGTCGGTTCTTGAAGAGATCCTTGTGCCACCCATCCGAATATCCACCAGAGACTTGATCCGAGAATATGTGCTGCCATCCAAGTTCTCCAAGTTTGAGTCTGTAAAATTCAAACTCCCCGCAGCAGATCGTAAGGCCCACAAATCTGCGGTCTTGGGAGTACATTACCAGGAGTATCATCAACAGAAGCAGCGGGATCAGCCGTCGCAATTCCAGTCCCTTTACGTGAACCACGGATTTGGTGTTTCCTCCTTGACATGGGTGCCAGTCCTCCCAATCTTGGTGGAACGATTGAGGACACAAATTGGATTGGGACACGATGCCGTGGGGTTTGGCTTTACGGATCGCGCAAGCTCTGACTGTTTGGAAGCCTACACGCCCACCGGATCTGCTGCCATTGGAACGGCTCTCTTGCAGTCAAAAGCTCCAGTTGTGACCAATGACAAGCCTGTTTTGCTCATGGGACATTCATTAGGAACCTTAGCCACGTTACAAATGGCGCTGTCGCTGCCGCTGGAGACGCCAAAGTGGGTTGTCCTGGTGGCACCTGCTGTGGGGATGAGACCTTATATCGGGAGACAGAACCATCTTTTGCAATGGTTGATCAAAGGCTTGCTGAGTGGGTTAAGCGTGGTTTGGAAGTATGCTCTCAAGAGGCTTGTGGGGTAAGTACAAATTAGATCCCGTTACGAATCCATGGTGGCATTCTCTCATCACGAACTAACTGGGCTTCTCTTCTTGAAGGGCGAAAAACTTTTGGAGGTTGGCTGTAGAGGTTGTGATGTGGGCAGATCCCAAGCTTGTTCTCGATGCAGATGTCTTGCGAGTCCAGTGGCCCGCCATTGGTCTGGGTTGGGAGGATGGATTGGTGAAGTACGCTCTAGCCATGACAACATTGCCAACAACCCCTACAGACCAGGAATTGGTGGAACAAGTAGTCTCTCTAAGCAACACTGTCGTTACTGTTGTGTGTGGTCCACATGATAAGCTCGTGTCAGGCCCTTTCGTGCGCAAGTTTTTTGCACCTCATGGTGATGACATCCGAATTGTCGAAATGGAAGGACTGGCGCACAACCCAATGGAAGAAGATGTGGGTCGATTCGTTGGTCTCCTTGAACAACTATGGGAAGAGGACAAAGGGAGACTAATCTAATAAATCAGTAGTTCTTGAGTTCTATCGTATGCATGGTTGTACCGTCAAGAATAATCTGTTTCTTGTGTCTTGCGCACGCAAGCAGAAAGGACAGCACTATTGACGATGGTGTACCATCTGAGTGTCTGACCAGCATCCCAACAATCAGAGCGAAAATGGAGGCTACAATCAGGAAACATCGTAAAGTTAGCTGTGCTAGAACTAGCTATCACGACATCTAGAACTAGCCTTGAATCTTTCGAGGGTTGCTGTTGGAAATGGCTTCACCATTACGTTAGACAATTTAGCAGGGGATTGGTGTTTCGGTTTCTACTATTGGAGTATGGACTCGACTTGACTCGACTCAAGTAAGCTGTGGATTGGGCTGTTACTTAACTCGCGACATTTCACGCAAGTACCGCTGGCTCCCTTCCTTGACTGACAGACTCGTGGGAGAGACGGCGCTTTTGGGTTCGTTTTAGCGAGAAAACGGACCAACTGTGGCTTAGGATATTGTAGCTGATAGCTAGCTACTCGAGTAGCCGACTCGACTCGACTCGATTCAATTGTCCCGGTATTTCAAAAGACCAATGCGGTTGCTCCCTGTTGTGGGATGGTGCTAATAACGGCTCTAGCAACAGCGGGAAGCAGGCTTGGGAGCAGTTTCGGCCAACGCGTCACTCTCACCGGTAGCGAGACGCAGGTATCATTCAATGAGTTGATAGATTCGATTCACGTCGTGATATGTTGGTGCAGTTAGGCAGGAGGTTTAGTACCAATGCGCACTTGCATCCAAGCGGCGGCGTGTCCAAGGCCTGCCTCCAGTCAAACTGCGAACTCTTTCGCCTTATTGTTATCCTTCTTACGATTGCCCCTGTCGTCAGCCAGCGGGTTAGCGAGTGGACACAACACCAAATAGAGACTTTTGAAGTACTGTAGCCAGCTTCAGTGCGGATGCGGAGTGGGATTAGGATTGCAAGAAAATCCCAAGTACTCCCTGGTACCGGTCGAGGTGCGCCAACATTCATGTGCAATGCGACCACATGTGGCGTCTGAAGTTAAAAGCGAGGACGGTTAACATTACGAATACCTAGATGAATTGCAGACGTTGGAGGTTAACAGATACCTTGAGTCATGCCTGGTTCATTCACCCTGTCTTCATCATGAAGATAACATATAGATATCGCCTAAATCTCGATGGTTTAAACAGGCATGTTCTTCACCTCTTTGTCGCTAGGTACAGTCCAAGTTAGGGCTACTTAGGCCGCTAATGATGATGCCCAGCGCAGAGGAACATTCTCCAGATTTCAGGAGCCGATGAAAGGGACGTGTTGGGCTCTCCAACGAGTGAGAAGCTCTTTTTTGGTCGGTTCGAGGCAAAATCTGAATACACCTTCGCGGCAACGTACACTTCACGACACGAACATCATCCTTAGTCTGATGCTTCCATCCATCTTTCGTCGGCTAAGAAGGTCGGAGTAGTCAGTCAACAAGCCAGTCATGTCCTCTTCGCAGGAATTGCTACAATGCAGTAGAATGGAGTTTATAGACTACTTTTGTGACGGCAAACGGCTGAGCTACATTGGTTGTGACGGCAACCGAGCGACGGAACTCCTAGGATTCGGTACCTCGACAACAGGCGGCGACGAAGAAATAGACTTTGAGGAAGAGAATGGCAGTCTCTTCTCTGGAGATGATGGCACTGGCACGGGCACTGGAAGCGGAACTGGAACTGGTACCGAGAGCTTCACATACTATACACACGACGGGTCTTCGACTGCTACGTCTTTGTTCGTAACCAGTGCCATGGCGGCGTCACAATCTGGCCCGCTGGTCGGTTCGCTGCAGCCAACGCTGCAAAAGACAACACCGCTCTTTGATGCTATCGATCAACGGCAGTGGAAAAGTGTTTGCACGTTCCTGACCACCAGCCAGTGGGGGTCTTTCCGTAGTGGCTCCCGCCTACCCAGTGTTCCGCTCCTGGAAGAAGCCCGTCAGTGGTCTGTTACCTTGGACAAAAGTGGCAAGGTCACTACTCGACGCCTCCCCCTACACGCAGCTACCATGAACCAGGCTCCACTAGAGGTGGTCTTGAAGCTCGTTGAGCTCTATCCGAAAGGCGTTAGTTGCGCCGATTCCCAAGGCAATCTTCCCTTACACTTGGCTTTTGGGTACGATGCCGACGATGATGTTATTCTCTTCCTACTCAAAGGGTATCCCGAGGCGGTGCTCGTCAAGAATAACTCAAAGAGAGGCAAAGGCTGCAAGGGCTTGCTGCCCATGGAATGCGGACATAGAATCAAGAAAGCAGCTATGATTCAACTATGTCAGGACAAGGCCAGGTTACTTAGCTACGAAAACGTCAAAAACGAGTTTGTGGAAGCGTCCGGAGGCAACCTCGAAACCATCGAAAAGTCAAGCTATGTCGTGGATGGCAAACAAGAGGAAGACCTCATGAGCATACAAAAGGAGTTGGATGAATTGCGACGAGCCAACAGCGGTAACAGCAAGGGCGACTTGACAAGAGGGAACGACGTCACGTTGGTTGACAACTGGATGCGCAACACCTTTCAAGGAACCTTTCTTGAAAACGCATTAACCAGCAGCATCCGGGAGGAGGACGATCAATTGCCAGTCATTGATGAATCAGACTCTGAGGATTCCGGAATTGATGCGTCCGTCGCCAAAAAGAAGGCCGCAGATGCGTCCAAGCCCCCAAAGCCGGTTCCTGGACGGTGGATGCATCGGATTGCTTCCAAGAGCAAGAGCACTGACGACGATGAAACCTTCGAAGTCAATCTTACTTCTCGATCAGTAGCCACTACACATTCCTCAAAGTCCAAGAAACGCTTTCCGTTCTCCAATCCATTTCGAAAGTCAGGAAGACGCAAGACGGCCCCAGAAGCACCAAAACAAATGCAGGTGGACACCGTCACGGTTCAGTCAGGATCGAGCAAAGCCAACCTTTCCGTCTCGAGGTTCTCGTTGAGCGCAGTCAACCAGAACTCCAGCGACGGGAAGACCCATGAAGCTAGCGATGCATCGCAGACGGCCAAGTCTGCTCTTAGTGGTAGATTCAAAAGCTCGATATCAGGAGGAGGAAGAAGTCTTCCCTCTCAACGAGGGCTCTTCCGCAAGCAGCGCTCCTGGTTGGCACGGAAGAAATCCGCCCCTGATGATCCCCAGAGCACAAATGAAGTACCATTGGCCAAGCCGGCGACTGATGACGAGGAAGACAAGACTCATCCTCCAGAACCAACGCCCTTAACACAAAGTCTGTCGAAGACGTCCCACGTTTCAGCTATTTCTCATACGTCGCAATCGCAATCACACTCGCACACTGGTACCTCCCACACTTCCAACACTCGTCGTACAAAAGAAAGCTCTTCCCATACGGCCGTGATTGTAGACGAAGAAAAGGACTCGGAAACAGAGTCGGATCAAGGAGTCTTCGCTGCCTGGAACATTGACCAAGCGAGTCTGGCCCAAGCCATGTCTAGTATCATGTTGACCAATGCAGACGCAACGGATGGAGAACAGAAATCACCTGAAGAAACATCCGAGACGGATTCGCAAAATGATAGCGTCACTTTGAAGCCATCCAACCGCGGAGAGAAGCCATTCAGCAGCTCGTTTTTGAAGAGAAAAGAGAATTCGTTCCTCGAGAACTCTTTCTTGGTTGGTCCGACCTCTGCAAAAGGTTCCAAAAAGTTATCGGAGAGTGGACGTGGAGTCTCTATCCGAACGAGGAAGAATGCAGAAGGAACGACCAAACAAGACGATGTCGTTACAGACGATGACGAAGAAGGAAATGGTGTCGAGTCTACAACTCCAAGTGATGAGATGTCTACCCACACTGAAAGCGACAGCGTCGAGACTTCCGGCGCAACGATGGAGTCCTTTGGGTCACACGAGCAAAGCGATGACACCTTGGAAAACGTTGATGCCAATCAAAAGCCTCAGACGTCCGTATTTGGCTGGCCGGGTGGTCGAAAGGATGAATCTTCGACAAAGCCGGATAAAGCAACCAACAAGCCAAACAAGCCGAACAAGCTCATCAAACGAAACAGTATGAAATGTTCAAAGAAACTTCGAAAGAGCGACTCTTTTACATCTGATGGTGAGAAACGCAAGTTTGGACTTTTCAGGAGAAGAAAGTCCAGTGAACGGAATCTGAAGAAGGATGTCGTGAAAGCAGCAGCCTTGGTCAAAGCCATACAAGACAACGACATCGTTGCAAAGAACCAGTTAACGAGTAAGAAGAAGAAGCTTCCAAAGAAAGCAGAGCAGAAAAAGCAAGCAAAGACGAACCCTCCAGCCTCCCAACCAATACTGATTCCAACCTCCCGGAAAGGCACGGATCCTACCGTGCGTCAAGGTCATCAAATGCGAGGATCGCTCTCCTCGGGAAACTCTTCGCGTTCACGTGATTCCCAATCCCTCGAAGGGTCGATTGTCAACGCCATCGTTCCCCGAAAAGGAGATTGGCGATCTGAATACGAAGATTATCTTTCATTGACCCGATCGGTGACCCGATCTGTGGAAAACTCAGATAAGCGCAACACTATACCCCGCAGTCGGTCCAACGAAGATATCGCGCGGACGAAGAAAGGTAGTCTCCGACGTGTCATGAAGATGACTTGTTGCCGTGAAGGCAAGAAGCCTAGCTTCGACGACCACCATTTGGACCAAAGCTCCTTCGTTGGCGTCGACGATATTTTGAGCGACCTCGAGAGTATGTCGCCTCTAATGAAGGGTGGTTCAGCCAAGAACAATGTTCCTCGCGGACACGGAAGTGGCAGTGGCAACCTCAAGCCACTTGTCAAAGTTACCTCAAGCCAGAGTACAGGACCGGTTGTCAGCGAGTCAACTGTCGAAAACAGTGATGTCGGCAGCGTCTATTTGGTCAGGGTCCGACTCTAACATGTGCTCGAAACCTATTCAGCGAAAGGTAGAAGTACTGTACCAATGAACTATATGACACTGCGTCTAAACTAAGCGTATTAGCTACTGTCCGTCCGAGGTTGCCCTCCGTGCACTGCTTCTCTGGGCCGTCGGGTCATGGCCCAGAACCGAAGATGGCACGAAGACACATCGCCGGCCGCCAATCAGTATGGTACCGTCTCGTCTCTTCTTTTCGTTATTACTTCAGGACAGCGACGAAACGTTCATTCGGTCTTCACACACTGCTTTGCTTGGCAGTAATCGGACCTCACATACTTGATGGGGAGGATGCATCGATTCGGTCTGGTGTGGGGTTGGAGCCACGCGGTCGCTGGATGGAACGATCCTTGCTAGCCGCTGGTACCGGTACCGGTGCCTGCATGTATCAAGAGGCAGGCCCGCTGTGGCTTCTGTCCTGCCTGTTGTTGGTTCGGCATCAGAGGATCCGCACGCACTGAGGACCTTTCAGCCCTTGTCAACTCGCGTAGCAAGCTTCTCGTGGAAGAAGGAGCGTCCCAAATCCAAAGACGGAAGACCACGCACTACTTACAGTACATCATGCGGACAAGTTACAAGCAACATTACAACGATTGCTTGCAGTTGCAACGTCCGTATCTATCGCTCTTCAAGTTGCTGTAGGTGGTTGAGAAGTTGAGAATAGGAAACTTCCAAACTCTGTGTACCCAACGGGATCCCTCTTGGCTGCTACGCGTACTATCTGGCTAGCGGTAGCTCTTCCTGCCGGTTTCCTCTGGCTCATCTTCCGTCAACAGTTAGAGCGCGGTTGTGGGGTTTCGTTGGGATCATTCACGATATTCATTCAAATGATGACCATCCTCATCATCACCAGGCAAACCAGTCATCTGATTGAGAATCTGTACTATGTACTATGTACTACTGTATGGTAACCTCTGGATTGCTGCTTCACATCTTCACATAACAACTATCAAACTGCAATGGACTGGCTAATGGACTTTAGTTACGTTTAGCAAGACGGCACCCCGAAGTGCACTAAAGGCGAAGGAAGTATCTATCCCGTATCCCGGTGGTTGGTGGCTTGGTGTGGTGGTGAAATACATGTAAATTGCGAGTTCATAGTTAGATCGTGTTCCACACTCCTCAGCCACTGGTACCATTACCACTGTAAAAACCTCAGGGCACCCACCGCACATGTACATGCTTGACTTGGCTGGCTCTTCGGGTCATTGATTACTCATCGTCAGAATGCGACCTCTTTCAATTGCAAGAAAGAACAGCTGGCAAAGTGAAAGTTTCGTTCAATCGGTAGGTACAAACCTGCGCTCTACTGTAGCTACGGAGTACGTCAATGCAAATGAGCTTTGTCATTGGCTTCTCGTTCAAAGGCACTAACGGAAAGCCAAACGGTTTGGGTTTGCTATTAAAAACAGACTTAATGGAGTTGGCACTTATGCCAAAGGAGAACAATTCTAATGACTTATTCTGGCCAGTAGAGCACCACAGAAGTCACTTTCTCGTTTCCACGTCACTGCTGGAGGGGTTTGGGAACTGCTGATTTTCGGACGAGAAGCGTGGTTTGGGGCAAAGCTGTGGCAACTAAACAAAGCAGCAAAAACCGGTGGTTACTACATGCATGTACTGGTAGCTTGAGCTTTAAAATAGTAGAATCAAGGATCCCAGCTTGTGGCTTCCTTTGGGACAATCAATTCGAGGGCGATGGCGATGGCAAGGGCTATAGGTCAGCACAGTGGTGGTCGCGTATATACCTTGCTTTCAGTGCTGTTTGTTGTCTCTACGGTACTCCAGAGTGCGTGTAGAAGCTGGGTAGCTATTAGTAAGCTGAGTGAAAGGAGCATCTTCTAAATTCTAAACTGCTAGCTAGCTAGCGTTGCCCGCATTGAGAAGGCTAAGGCAGGGGGCGGGACTGGAGGAGTCTAGTGCTGGATTAGATACTCGAGTGGCTAGCTAGCTATGCACACGGTTGGGTTGCTGAAGCGGCCAGCAAGTAATTCAACTGGGCAGGAGGACAAGGTTTGCCATGAGAATGTCAACTAAGAATAATATTATACAATAATAGTAGTTCCTCCTAGAGAGTACAACACGTGAGGACTTTGTCCCGGTGGTAGTACAACACGCATGAAATCGAGGACACAAGCTCGTTGGAGAGCTGCCTTCGAGAATGTATTGGGTATGAGCCTAAGATGAGAGAAGCATGTATAGATGAAACAACGCACCCCTCCTGTGCGCTGTGGCTGCTCCTGTCTTTCCAGAGAGGAAGCAGCTCTTGACTTGCCGCCATGTTCTGCACCTCTGATGCCATTCTAGCTAGTGCATTATACCTCTCGCACCTTAACCTTGAAAGACATCATGCAGTCGCTGTCTCAACATCTAGGCCGCTTCACCATGGAGCACCAACTAGTACTTGTGACTGGTAGGATCTGGTAGCCAGGGGCTTCTTGGGCTTGAGCACGAACCGCCTCCTGGAGCTACCGCTGCTGGGAATGTCTGGGAACAAGAGATTGGTTGGCAAGTGAGCAAGAGGCACTACCGGTGCGGGTGTTATCAATGACTCTGTTGCTGTTGAGCTCTTGGACTGAACTGGGGCAGTGAGGGGCACGAAGGATACCCTCTGCACAGGCGTCCTTGTGGCCGGGTCGCTCGAGGGTCTCATGCGAAGCTTGAAGGCCGGAACTCGTCGACCACCTGTAGCCCCGTCGCCTCCAAGGGTATCCGGTACTCGTGGTGCTGTCCTGATGAGATGCTTCCTCTCCTGGCTCTTTGCCCTGGCATGTAGGTTCATCCTGGAGTTACCAATGCTGCTCGTTGGGTTTGTTCGCTTCTTCAGGTTGAGGCTTGGTAGAGGCCTGTTCTCAGTGGACGCAGCTGAAGTGGGTGTTGCGAGGGAATCGAGGAGAGGTAATGACATGGTTCTATTCCTTTTCTATATAACTAAAAGAGAGACGAGATGCTTTGTTTTGCTTTGACACCAAACTAGATGAAGCCCGAATTGTTTGATGTTGGAGGCAGTTGGCAGCTGGAGAGATAATGGAGTCCACGGGAAAGAGGAAACGGCAAATTCAAAATGATGAAAGTAAAAGTGATGGTGGGCCAACCGGAGTGCGATGAGGAGCATTCACATGCAGAAGCAGCCCACTTCCACATGGGAGGGCTCTACTATTCGAAGAAACTAGCCATGAGATTCCTACGCAGATTTCCTGCGCGAAAACCTCCTCAAGAATTGGTGTCATTTGAGACAAGAATTCAGAAACTCTCAGCCAATCAGAACATCGGAATTTGACACAGCGACGAGCCTTCCCGCGTCCCGCAATCATGGATCATGGTCTGAGAGCTGCGGTATGTGATAAGAATACATGGCTTAATTACCGAAAAACATCAACGCATTCTCCTTTAAAGAGTGGCATAAGTCGGCTTCTCAATAGATGCTGAATTAAAAAATTGATGGCTAAATTTATAGCAAACGAGATGCCTTGACACCCAGCATCAAGAAAAGGAGAGAAGCCTATAGTCTTCTTCAGAATCCATACGGTAGATGTGCTTCCGCACGGCGCGAAGTACTTGGCAAAACATCAGCGGAAATGAATATCTACGGAAGTACTCATAGGCCAGAGCATTTTTGAATAGAAACAGCCAAAAAAGTCGCATATGGACCGGTGTTCTGAATTGGCTTCTGGTTTGTATGAGTCAGTCTTTCCTGCGACTGGAGTATGTACCTCATACCTCAGTGTACTACTAGTAGTACTGAAACCATAAAGAGAAAGGCTTATTGGCATTCGGTGTCCGTGGTTTTTCCTGGCTGGCTAGCGGTATGGCTAGCTAGCTAGTGACTACTAGTATGCATACTCTGCGCACTCAGTTGCTAGCTAACTACCGGTAGCTACAAACTACCGGTAGTACTACATACATATACATGTTCTAGCTACCGTACCGTCTTTAGTCGAGGGGAAGTACATGTAGGTACTGGTATTGCTTGATGTTGTCCCTAACTTCTTTGGGTGGAGGGACTTGAAGAGAAGGAATGGATCATCCACCACTTGAGTAGAATCGAATCGATCATTGTTTGAGAGCGTTTGATGCCTCCAGCCTCTAGACTAGACAGTGCTTCACTACTAGTAGCTGGCTAGTTGTCTTCGCCAGTCAGTTCTTCTTCCCTCCTGGCTTCCTGGCGGCATTGAATCATCTACTAGCTAGCTAGCGTATCAAGAAAGTACAGACTGTTCTCTCATCCAGGAAATTTATCAATTGCAGCAAAAAGTGAGTATACTAAATAATTTACTGGGATAGCTAGCGTATCAAGAAAGTACAGACTGTTCTCTCATCCAGGAAACAAACAAACTAGCTACCAGTGCCTTCGCAATTGACTTACCCGTAAGATAGGCGGATTCCTTCGGTACCGTATTGAGTTGCATTGTCATCTTAGCTTATCTTCTCACAGAGTACTAGCTAGTACGACTGCACAGCGTAAATGAATGAGGCCCGATCAAGTCAGAAGTCAGAAGTCTACTACATGTAGATTCGATTCTATTCGATTGGATTGAATCATCTTTTCTTAATTGAATCGGCTCAATTCGGCTCAGTTCGATTGTTTAACAATTATTCGAAATCGGTTATGTGAGAGCTAGCTAGCGTTAAACTTAACCCTGGGATTTGTACGTCATCCGAAGTGCCAAGTGGAGGGTCTCGGTTTTGCTCATCAGAAACCTTCCCACTGCCACCGACAACAAACTCCCATCATCCCCATTGTTGCGAGAGTACTGTATTGGAAGAGCAGTAGCACGAGAACAAAAGTGAGGCAAAGAAAGCTCCACAGATTGCATTTCCTTGTCATATCATATTCGGGTGTTGTACCGTTGTTACCGGTAGTATCCAGAAAGAAAGAAAAAGAAAAATGAGCTCTACTACGTCGTCTCCCTTGTCCATTCGAAAACTTGGCCTGTGGCTGGCCCTTGCCATGTTTCTAAAATCCGAATCTATATCCGCCGCCTTTCAACAACGAATGCCATTTGTGGTGGTTTCTACCAGCAGCAGGAGAATACATATACTAATACGAGACCCCATTGTGTTTGGCAAATTCTACTCGACCTTTGGTGGAAGTGACGACCTTCCTCCTGACGACAACGGCGACAACAACAACAATGGTGACAGCAGTGGCAGCTTTGGCGATTTCTTGAACCAACGAGGAGAATCGGAAAATCTACGTCGCGCCCGAGAAGAACTGAGTGAACAGAGTTTACCGTTGTCGTTTGATGAGAGTTTGGACGAACCAAACGACTTGACAGAAAACTCCTCGGCACTGGTGGGTCCGAGTAGTAGTAGTAGTAGCAATGGATATTCGTCTCCCAATCCAGGACAGTTTTTGGATGGACCCTCCCAAGAGGCATTGGCCAATAATGCGTACATGCAAGTCGTGTCCAAAATTGCTCCTTCCGAACTGATATCCAAATTTACCACAACGGCAAGTCCTCGAGTACAAGATGCTGTACGAAATACCGTGCTAGGATTGATTGGGAGTCTTCCCAAAATGGCATTTGACACGACAACCATCACCACTGGAGCTAGGCTGGCATCGCTCATGTTTCAGTTGCAGGTAAGCATAATAATGTAGTGTGATGCTGATTTATTCAATCATCAATCATTGGGTCCTGTCCAACAACCAAAAAACTCATCTCTTTCATTCCTTTTCTTTTACTGATCATCTTCTAACTTACAGATGACAGGATACATGTTCAAGAATGCCGACTATCGTCTTAGCTTATCGAATGCCTTGAAAATGGGAATGGAAACAAACAATTATCGGCTTCCTGGTGGAACAACCCTTGATGATGACGACGAGGATGATGATGATGACTCGGAGGATACTAGCCCCAGTATTCCTACCGATGGCAAAGTCAAGGGAAAGCTCAAGTTGAGTGCCGGAGGTAAGCTGTCCATGGAAAATGAAAGTAATGAAGGAAACTCCACCTCCACGGTCGAAATAGAAGTCGATGCCGCCGCCTACATGACCGAATTGCGCTCCGAAGTCAAGACACTGCGAGATGAACTCACGCGGACACAGCAATCCAAAGAAGACCAGCTTCGCAAGGATTTGCTTCTCTATATAAGAACATTGCCAGAACAAGAGCTTCGGTCTCTGACCAACACCATGAGTCAAGATGTATTGGTATCCATGAAAGGACTGGTCAATGCCGTCATGGCGGGCATTGGGGATGGACAAATCACGCCGGATACCGTGACCGAGCAAAGTGGAGAAGCCATGGCACAGCTGTGCATGTGGCAACTCGTCATGGGATACAACCTCCGGGAGCTGGAAGTGCGAGAAGAAATGAAAAAGAGTTTAGGTTCGACCGATGATGCTGATGGAGGTGTGGACTTGTCGGAACCGGGGACATTGGAATAGTTCTGTCCAGTTCAGTTGCTCTTCCTTCCGGGTCGATTGCATTGATCTATCACCATCAAATTGTATCAGCTCTTTCCTCTTGTGTGGGTCTTCCGAACCATCCAGCCAACACTGCAAAAAACTGCCCAGCTCTTTCTCTCAAAGGCAAGTTCGAGAGGCCTCAACAGTTTTCAATCAGCTCCTGGCACAAGCTGGTTTGCGGCCACCAGTCTGCTCGAACGAGGAGGGGATTGAATCGAATCCAATGTTCACGCAGCCCTGAAAGTCGAAGATAATACCGGTAGTGAGCGAAGCAGGAAAAGAAACAATAGAATGATTGACTATCTTGATGTGATGTCTTGTATCGTCTTGTGTGAATGCAATAGAGAGATTCATGCTTGAGCAGAAACTGGCTGGCTGGAGGCTATATCTGGTGCTGAGCCCGGTGTGACACTTTGGAGCCAGCTGGTTAGCCATCTTTATTTCACTCACTATGGACACTGCGGGGCTTACTAGTTCGCCTCGAGTTTCGCCACCACCTGCAATTCGACATACATTTGCTGGAGCTTTGGCTTCAGAAGCAGTTCTTTTTGGTCAAACTGCAAAGCCTAGAGAGTTCATCTATTCCTATTCCTGTTACTATAGCTAGACCTATAATCAGCAACATGCGTGACTTGTACCTAGAATTGATTTTGTCATTGGTTGTATGCTTATTATCTTTTATAGGTATGTATAACTGCCTCTCCGAGATGCACGGAAGTGTATAGAAGCGTGACAGTGCTTGATATGTGGACCTTGTGCGTACTGCCGAGTGATGTTGCTATACTTTCAGCCATGCAATCTCTCTCTCTCTCGAACTCTCTCTCTCTCCTTGTCTTAAACAAATTTCAATAGGCGTAAAACTGCAGCAACTGTTCGCGCACTTGTGTACCCATGACAGGATCTCCATGAATAAAGACGGCGGCATCCAAGCTGTCAGGTATCGACTGCACCATGTGGGTCCAGTAGGGTCTCACGGCACTCTTGTCTTTGGTGAAGCAATGCAAATAGTGCCGAAAGACCCGACCACGGGGTTGGAACAAGCTCTGGAATCCGGCGACCAAGGTGCTGGGAGCCAAGATGGAGTAGTTGCCCATACCACACTGTCCTACAAACAAGCAATAACTCTTTGCGCTTGTGTCTTTGTCCCCGCTACTACTAGTGTCAAATATCTCAACCTGATAGCTCCGCTCCGCAGTGCAGCGTGAGTTATGGTCGTATCGAAACATTTTGGTGAATCCAAATTCGGTCTCCAACATCTGCAAGGATTCTTCAATGGTGGCATCCACGGCCACGGCCTCTTCCACAAGTTTCCTGGATGGCTTGGGCGTGAGAACCTTTGCCTCTGGATATGCCTTCTTACAGTCTTCCGCGTAGGACTCATGACATTCGTTGGCCGCAATAATGTACTTGACGGGAACTCCCAGCTGGGCCACATCCGCTCGAAATTCTGCCGTCATTTTGGGTGGGATGTAAATGAGCAAGGCATCTCCTTGGCGGCTCTTGAAAATGGTGGACTGCGTATACCCGCTCATGAAGAGCTGCTGATAAATCTGATTCTTCACAACTGTCGTGAGGCGACCCATGTTCCTTCGCGGTTCCGCCAAACCCAACGCTACCGAGAGTTCTTGGGGAATGACAAAGCCAACCATGGTCACAAAGATCGTGGCAACTTGGGTGATCTTACCCCACAACCCATTCTCATGGAAGGCTTCCACCATTGCAGCCTGAAAAAAAGCATCGCGTTTGATTGTTGGCATGGTGGTACATGTACTTGGAGAGGCGGTACCACCGTTTATGGAACCAGTACTGGTACCGGTGCTTGTATTGGACCGAAAGGTGTGGTAAAGAAGTCATCAAGAAAAGGATCCATGATGAGGTCACATCGTGACAGTCGAGAAGGGGGCAAGACGAGAAGGGTCATTGAGTCGAGTCGAGTCGAGTCGTTGATACGTTTGGTGAAAATAAACATAATGGAACCTCACAAAATAAATGTGGAATGGGTATTCTCGCAGCTCAGCTGGATTGAGCCTCGACCAACCGATATGTCCCTCCTTTGGAAGTACATTCCTCTATTTATCAATGTCATGGGATTGATATTCAACATCTATGTCAGTCTGATTGCTAACTTGAAGCGAGAAAAGCCAAAGACAAGCTGAAGGCACGATACTATTTTGCATGGAGGAGCTAGCTATGGTAGCTTGGGATACAAACAAACAGTACGATACGACCAATCTATTCGTGTAAAGGTTCAGTACATCTTGATGATGTGTCTGCTTTGGCGGTGTAGAAGAAGTCATGTCTTGACCGGGTCTTCAATCAATCAATCCCATGTTGACAGTAACAAAAAGTGTAGTTGCGTTGTGAATTATAATGCTGCTTCTAGTGACATCGTTATACCCCCAAAATGACCATCACAATGAACCCCCAAAGTGTGATGGCAGCCAGCAACATCATGAGAAGATCGGTTTGTAGTTACTACTGCTGCTACCAACTGCTACTACTGCCAGTTGGTCAGAGCATGCATTCCACCAGACGTCTACATTCTGGTATCCTTTGATGGTTCCGTCGTCTCTCTCCTCATCCACTCACTTGCTTCCCAGGCCAGTCTAGGCCTCGCCCCACAATAAAGTCTCGATTCCAGAGCCTGGTGGCATGCCTCGAACCGCTATCACAAATAATGGTGACCGCGTTGGAATCAGGTTCCAGTTGCAATACACGGCTCTTAGCCTTATTCGCGACTCGATCCTAGATAGGGTTTGAGTTCGACTCATGACTGAGTCTCTCGTGAATAGTCATTTGAGACAGGGTTCTCAATGACCGCTCTAGTCATACTAGGTTGATGATGAAACATCGCTCTAGATATTTAGCCAGCGTGGAGTGCTTCCACGCTACTAGATCCATGCTAGACAAACCTTCCACGCGTTCCGTTTTAGGATCGTGGAGATACGTAGGATTACTACCGCAACCTACTCTATCACACTTTATAGTCTCCCACGGGAGGCCAGATCTACGATCCCTTGATGATGATCTCTCTCATTGATTAGTTTTCATAGCTTTCTAATCTCTCTCATAACTTTCATTCTCTCAAACTCAAAACACTCGAAAGATCTTTACACTAGCTTTTAGCGTAGTGCATTTTGTTAACAAACACAATAGCTTTCAGCTACCCTCAACCTATTCCTTCACCATGAAGATGGCTCAAGGAAAGCATGCGTTCCGCAACTTCGAGAAATAGTTGCGTGACAAACCCATTCTTCCTCTCGTCGACAATGACGAAGAAAACGAGATCGACGATACTCGTGCAACTACTTGCAAACTTCGCAACCATGTTGCCAAGCGCAAATCAGAAGACTCTGACAATGAGGACAACTCCTCTATCAATTTCAATCACTTGGATGGAGAAATCTCTATCTGAGGATTAGGCCAGGATGATGACTCAACGGAACCATGTTCCGATTTCTCATACCAAGTGATGAAGATATCTCACTAACTAGTAACAAGAATTGTTTTCAACCGATGAACTCTACGCAAATTATATGATTGCCTAGAAGCTCAACTAGACTCTGAATATCTATTTAGCATGTTACCTCGTCCGTGGCAACACCTCGTAACTCGCAAGACAAGAGACCTCAACCCTCGTTATGTTAGATTTAACAAGCGAGAAAAGGGAAACCAAACCGTTACACTCTGTTGCTTACTGATACAGGAGCACCGGAACTGATTGGCTCAACCTCAGCTAAGAAATACGGTCAGATGC